CGAGGTCATACAGCAAGTGACTTTACCTACTTAGGCAGTTCACTGGTTCACATTTTTTTTTTTTTTTTTTAAATTAATCTGTAGAACATTGTAGAAACCTCACTTTGAACAGCAGCATTTCTGCCTGGCTCTCAGACTCTTCCTTCCATCTTTGCTCCTTCTTATAGCACCCTCCCATCCGCACTCCCACCTGGTGTTAGAGGATCTGCTGTGTGCCAGGAGCATTAGAAACTTGCCCCAGAAGGTCTTTGAGGAATTGAGTCAAGGGGCGGAGTCGCCGGGAAGAAATGACTGGTGCTCCATCCTTGCCTGAAACGTTTGCCCTGTGACCTCCTCCAGCTGCTTGACTTGGAGGCAAGTGCTGTGGTGTTTCCCTTTGAAGGGACTGTTTATGAACTCCAGCCTGCAGCTCCTGTGGGAACTGATGTGTTTGTCTCTTTCTTTTTTGTGATGGCATTGGGTTCCCACAGGCACTATTGCTGACTTTCTTCCTTGGCAGTCCCTGCCCTTTAAGGCAAAATTCAAAGGATGTGTCTAGTGTTTCCTGACTTTTTTTTTTCCTTTTTCTATACAGTATTTTCTGAATGGTCCAGTGTAGGCAAAGGTTGTTCCTTAGAGGTCAGGCTGTGGGGCTGACTGCTTCCTGGGACTTCAACTCTTTGTAGCTACAACTAGCTCAAGAGTGGGCCAGTGCAGGAGTGGGCCGGGGCTTTGGATAAGCTGAGTGGAGGTTGCTAGCACAGACTGTGCAAACACATAGTGCTCTTGAATCTAGGGACAGGCCCTGTGGCAGGTAGGCCTGCAGGAGCACATATGGGGAGGAGCCTGGCCCCCATCCTCGAAGGACAAGCCCTGAGAACTTGAGTACCCTTGAGCACTTTTTCCATTGAAGGCAAGATAAAGGAAATGAAATTACAAACAGAAAATCTGACTTTCACAGATTGACTTGAAGAAAGAACTTAATCATCTTTTAAACTGCTGCCTGGAATTCTGATGTCAGGTTTCAAGGATGTGTGGGACCCAGACAGCTCTCTTGAGCCATCAGATGGGGTGGTAACCTTCAGTTGGGATGCTGTGAGGAGGATCTCTGCATGGTGGGGCTGGGTGGGGCATATAGCCTTGGACCCAAAACAGAATTGCAGTGGACTAAATAAATCTCTAATTCCAGGATATGGGTAAGAACATGTAGAAGAGGATGAAACTATCAAGGTTTTCCTTCAGTCTACTGCAAACCAAGTCCTCCAAGGAGTCATGGGGGAGGCACAGAGGAAGACGATCTGGCAAGGTCATGGGATGACATGGTTTATAGATGGCTCAGTAGCCAGTGTTTCATTCTAGGTCTGCACAGATCCTTCTGATGATTCACTTAGGATGTTACCACGGATATACAGGCAAGGGTGGGCCCTGCAGATGAGTGGGGCTGTGAAGTATGGGGAAGTAACTTTTCTCGGTAGCAGGAACAGCTCATGGTGTGGGAGGTGTGGTGGATTGGAGAAGGATGAGTACGGTGCAATGGGATGACACTGTGGGTTGAAGTTGCATCCCACAGAGTTGGCTAGTCTGTGTCTGTGCTGGGTAGTCACCCAGAAGGAAGGCTTCGGGCCAGTGTGCAGTGCTGTCTGTCGGTGGTGGTGGGGGCAAGAGAAGAGTTTATGACATGGAGAGCTGGTCAGTCAATTTGGGTGGGAGACGATCTGGAATGGAAGACATGGGCCTCTAGGGCTGCCTTAAGTTCACTGTGCCACCCTGAGCCTGCCAAAATGCTGTGGACCTTAGTGTTGTCTCTCCTTTTCCCTCCCTCCCCCTCCCTCCCTTCCCCTTCCTCCCTCCCTTCCTTCCTCATCCCTCCCTTCCCCCTCCTCCCCCTATCTATCCTCTCCTTCTTTCCCTTGCCTCCCTCCTCCCTCCATCTCCCCTCCCTCTCCCCCCCACTCCCTTCCTTCCCCCTCTCTCCCTCCCTCCCTCTTTCCCTCCCTCCCATCCCTCCCTCCACAGAGCTATGTCCTCAGCTCTCTTTTTACTTTTTATTTTGAGACAAGTCACTAAGCAGTTCAGGCCGGCTGTGAATTCACACTGACTTGGAACTTAAGGTCCTACGCAGCTGAGATAAAAGGGGTGATCCATCCTGCCCAGGTAGTGTTTTCATCATCAAGTGGGTTGATGGGCCATAGAGGAGTTTTCCCAGGTTAAGTAGACTGCTGCTCCCCTATGGTTGGCCTTATATGCCATTCGATGCCTTTTCTGCACCCTTCAAAAAGTCACCATGCTTTGTAAAGGTGATGATTTATGTTGATTTGATTGGAATGATAAGCCGATTTTTTGTTTCTGAGATTTTCTTTATAAGGAATAAGAAAGATTGGCCCTAAGAAGAGGTAGCCTTAAGTTGAATACTTTGGGGCTTATTTAAAAGCAGCTTTGCTCCCTTGTGAGTGTGTACCTCATATAATTTGAGAAGTGTGCTTATCTGGATTCATGGTCCTACAGTGGAGCCTAGTTCCATCTGCCTCTAGGAGTGAATAAGTTGGTTATCAGATGCCACTTTTCAATCATTTTGTACATATTTTTGTATGTGCACATGCTTGTGTGTATGTATGCATAACCATAGAGAGACCCAAAGACAACTTTGGCAGCCATCCCTTACTCAACATCCACCTTGGTTTTTTGAGACAGGTCTCTCAGTGGCCTAGAATTGGCTGGCCTGCAAGCTCCAGGGACCTTCCTGTTTCTCCCTCCCCAGATGACCCAGCTGGGCTTTTTTTTTTTTTTTTTTTAAATTTATGGAGTCAGGTCTTCATGCTTACAGGAATAGCCTTCTGACCTGCTTCCCACCTTCTTTCTTCTCTGGTCTCCTTTTGCTGCTAAAACATATCCCACAAATTTTGGGCCTTAAAACAATATCCATTGATCACTGTCCCTAGCCCTGGAGACCTGAGGTCTCAGAATCCAGTCCTACACAGGGCCATCTGTGGTCTACAAAGCTGTGGGGAGCACGTGTCCCATGACCTCAGCATGTAGGACCTCCATCCTGGACTGTTTCTCTTGCGTTCCTCTCATAAGAGTTTTTATGGTAGCCTATACCCATTATGTGATCCTAAGCTTGCTCACAACTGCAGTGGCTTCTTTGGTTTGGAATATGCACATAGAGTTCTGGAATTTAGATGGTGATGTCTTTAGAGGGTAATTTTCTGATCTACCACATTGTCTTGTCAGATATTCTTATGTTGTTGAGTGTTTTAGTTTACTATAACCTTTGGGTTGTTAAATCATCTTCATGAATTTCCAGGCAGGGTTGGGACAAGTGATGTGGTTCTGTCTCTAGTGACTTGGGGCCATGTGCTCACTCCTAGGGCTGTGTTGTCCTTCACATATAAGAGTATGGCTGTGTAGGCTCATTTCCAAGTTAAATGTATGGTTTTGGGTTTTGTGTATGAGTGTCTTACCCTGTTTTTTACTGCTTCTGGATAGGTAGGGTTCTTTGAGGGGAGACCCTAAGAAATAAATTATGTGTATCCATTTTCATGTTCACACATACCTAGATGTATTTACACTTGATGTGTTCATTTTATTTCATCTTTAGTCATCTGCCTTGTTTTTTCCTGGATCTCTAACTGAGTAGGAATGCTAGAAGGGATGCTGTTAATGGTGGTGGTAAAAGCATTTATGGTTCCTAAAGGCTTAAGAATGTGGTGGTGCTACCTTGGAGAAGCTTGGCATCTGCTCTGGGCTGCTTCACCTGATGCCGTTATTGAGACTGCTAAAGAGTCACTATAAAATGCTAAATAAACTTAATAACTGGTAACAACCTACTTTGTCGGCTGGGGACACTTACATTTTATGAATTTGGGGGGATACTTGAGGAAATGGGATTTCCTAGGAATGTATGGGTTTTGATGCCTGAGATGTTGAGAAGCCGTGCAAGTGCCCTTGCTTTGACTTTTTTAGGAAGGGCTCCAAGCTGAGCAGTGTTCTTTGCAGCAAAAGCAAATCACCTCCCAGTACAATGAGTACTTCAGTGTCATCCAGGCTCACCATGGGCCAGGTGGTGCTGAAGTGTCAGTCCCAGTTAGCCTCAGCTGTCACCTGGACACACCTGGAAAAGGAAGCCTCTATTGAGGAACTGCCTCCATCTAAATGGCTTGAAGGCATGTCTGTGGGCATTTCCTTTATTGCTATTGATATGGAAGGGCCTGTCCCCTATCCTGTCCTACCTGCCTTGGGATCCCACTGTAGGCAGGACCATCCCTAGGCAGGTAGATTGCTGAACTTGAGGCTGGGAGCAGGCTTAAAAGCAATGCTTCTTCATGGTTCCTGCCTCAGGGTTCCTGCCTCCAGGTTACTGCCTCCAGATCTCACCTTGACCTTGAGCTTCTGCTCTGGCTTCCCTGCAACATGCAACTAAAAATAAATCCTTTTTTACCTACACTGCTTTTGGTCAGTGTCTTATCACAGCAACAGAAGAACAAACTAAGGCAGGGGTTACGGCTTGGTGGATACTGGGTCTCTCTGTGGAGTTTTGGAAACATTTCTAGAAATTAGGGGTGATGGTTGCACAGCATTGTGAATGTCACTAAAGCCACGAAATTGCACACTTAAAGATCATGTTCTCTTCCCACAATAAAGAAAAGGGTTGCTTAGAATTATGAATAGTTAAGCAATTCCATGTTTAAAACATGCCCTTTCCACTTGGCCATGGTGGCGCATGCCTTTAATCCAAGTGCTTGGGAGGTAGAGGCAGGCAGAGCTCTGTGAATTTAAGGCCAGACTGATCTACAGAGTGAGTTCCAGGACATTTAGGGCTTTTTACAAAGAAGAACCCTGTCTTGAACCATTTCACTGCCCCTCCATGGGGGTTGGAGGCATATACCCTTTCCCTTTTGTGTCTGGAAGGAAAGGCTGTCCATGTGAGGGAAGGTGTCACAGGGCACGACTGAATGTATCACAATGTTGGAAGTTATCACTACTACCTGTGCTAATGCGTTTTCTCACCTCTTCTTCAACAGCTTTTTATAACTATGACGCTAGGGGAGCAGATGAACTGTCTCTACAAATAGGAGACACTGTGCACATCCTAGAAACTTATGAAGGTGAGTGTGGGCTGATGTTTCTCGTCTGGGGGGGGGGGGTCTGGGGAGTTGAGATGCTTCAAGGCCTCCTCAGGCAAAGCCTTTCCCTGTAAGGGTGCTCTGGTCTCAGGATGCTTTTCCCACAGACAGATGCTTTTCCAGGCAAAGGTGGTGGGGCAGCTCTTTGTTAAATTAAATGAGGTTTTATTAAGCTCAACTTAAAACTAAACATTGTATTTTAACCCCTAAATGCTTCTCACTGGCTCATTATTTTGCAAACGTGTGTAAGAACTGTCCCTTTGGTGAGAAACAGATTTGGGGCATTTCGGTTTGTTGATTCAATGTGTTAGTTGTGTGTTTCCAGTTGTCATTTTTTTTTTTTTTTAAAGTAAAGTTTCACTTTAGTTTGTTAACAGCATGTCTCAAGGGAAACTGCAATTGCCATGCCTTATTTGTTGCCCTTTTTCTTTGTCTGTGACCCCCATTTTCTCTGGGGCGAACAGATCACCAGTTCTATGGGATACGGTTTAAGGGAAGCAATTGCTGTGGCTTTTCTGGTGCCCTTGGTTTTTGCAATAGGCTTTCAGAGTGCCTCGCGCATGGATGCTCTGCTGTGGTATAGCTGCCTGCAGGGGCAGCAGAGGCAGTGTTGGCTTGCTTCTTCCCTTTTCTCTCCCCTTTCTTCAGGCATTGTTCTCACCTCAGACTTTCCTTAAGACTGTTTTTGTGTCCTTGGCTTCCTTTTCTGCCTGAAAAAAAAAAATGATTGCTAAGCCGTGTATCAATCACAGGAACTGATTTAAATAGCCAAATTGCTTTTAGATCAGGTTCAGTGAAAGTCTTGCAAGTGGGAGAGGAAATTGCAGACATCTCATAGTAACCAACAAATCGAACTTCCAGAGAGGTCTTCACACTCCACTTTGCACAGGAGTGAGCTGCACTCTGTTCCTCCAGCCAGGCAAGCAGGGACTGGCTCCTATGTCCCTCAGAGACATTGCGGAGAAGCAGAACCCTATTAAAAATCCATGTCTTGGCCCTTATTTCTCCATCTGATGCAGGAAGATGTAGAACTCCATTCTTTTTGCATCATTTACTCTTAAAAATGTATTGTGGGTGGGGGTGGCAGGAGCCGGCTTTATTGGCATATGCCTGGAAGCAGCTGTAGCTTGGCAAAAAGGAGCCCTTAAGCGAATGAGAGGCTGGCTGTGATGGGTGCCGTCTGCTTGTTTTCAGTTTTGACAGCTGACAGTTGGATTTCCTTATCTGCTCTCAGTACATGTTGCCAGTGGCTTCGAGGAAACAGAGAGAGAAATTAAGTAGAGGTGAAGGATCAGGCATCTCATTTGAGATGCTTTTCTGATCTGTAAGGAAATGCTCTCTCTGATTTTTGTTTTTTGTTTTTTTGTTTTTTTTTTAATTGCCCCAGTCACTTGAATGTGGAATTCCTGGGTCATCAATTCTGAGCAGTGCTGTCTCTCCAGAATTGTTAATGATTTCCTGGGGTGTCTGGGTGTGCAGAGACTGTGTGCCATTCTTTACTTCAGGAGGAGACTGTCCCCTTTCAGCAGTGCCATCCTGAGTCACATCAGTGGGCCTTGTTGTACACTAACTTCACGATAATCTGCCATTGGCTTTGACTTCTAGGCTGACATCACGACGAGTCGCCAGCCAGGGCTGATTTGTAGGCCGGTCTTGGTTCCCATTTATACACTGCAGTCTTTACAGAAGACGCTTGAACACAAAATGCATTTCCCTTCCTGGAAAGCTAACTTCTTGGTAGACTCTGGCCTGAGAAATACATTAACTGCATCTTCCGGAAACTGGATGACTTTGTCATCAAATGAGAGCACTGCTTGGTGTGCTTCCCTGGCTCTGTCTGGGCTCTGGTTTTGCCTCATGTCATGGTTTAGAGCCTGGCATTGTTCCTACCTCTCTCTCTCTCTCTCTCTCTCTCTCTCTCTCTCTCTCTCTCTCTCTCTTCCTCCCTCCCTCTCTTCCCTCTCTCCTTCCCTCCCCCCTCTCTGTTTCTGTTTCTCCCTCCCCCTCTCTCTCTCCCCTGTTTATCAACCTTGATGATTTTTCTTTGTGATACAGGATATCATCATAGACGATGCTGCAAAAATTGTAACTTCTAAGTTTCTCTGTTCCCCAAGGTGGGCCGGCTTGTTCCTCCTTTTCTTCCTTTTTCTCCTTTTAAGATGATTAGTCTTCATCACACACAGTTCAGAGACCACACTTAACCTTTAAGTTCTGGTTAATTGCTCTGTGAGGCGTGTTGAGGTGGAGGGTGTCCAGCTGCAGCCCTTAGGCCACATAAGCAGCCGAGGACAGCTACAAGTGCAGCCCAACATAAAACCATACACTTAGTTAAAACATTATGAGATTTCTTTTTTTTTTCCTTTCTCAATTTTAAAAACTTGAATGCACCTCTCAGCACTAATGCTATAGACAACAGTACTCTTAAAAGGTTTGCTAGGCCTGATACAGCCAAGTAAGATACTACCTTCAAGTCATGTCACTGTGGAGCAAACCTTCCAATGGCTACACAATGCAGGCTCTTGCTTTTAAGTCATGCCCATTGTTGGGGGCCAACCAATCACATGTGAACACAAGTCCCAGGTGCTTAGGAAGGGACTCTGGTGCTATGTTTCTCCAATGCTGGATGCTGTTCCAGGGGAAGCTGGAAGCATTGTGAAAAGGTTAGGGAATTATCTTTTTGATGTAGCTGTCACAACTAAATCCAATTAATTCAGATTTTTAAGTGATAATGATGTATTTTCTTTCAAAATGGTTGACCAACTTCCCGTGCTGGCCTGCGGCCTCCCTGAGCTCTGCATTTCTAACATGTTCACCTGTTTTTCCAGTGGGTGTCTCATTTTGGTATAGGTGGGTTACATGGAGGCCAGCAGCATACCCTGTGTTATCTTCTAGCTAAGTATCTCCCTGCCAACAAGCCCTGTCCCCTCCTCTCATAGCTATATTGTCACATCTCTTCATTTTCTTGGTGACACCCTCCTCTTCACACTCCATGTAGCTCAGCCCTGCTTGTCTTAGGTGCCTTGTGGGTCATGAGCAAAGGCTATGTCTGTAATTGGTGTGCGTAGGAAGGTTATAGTGGCAAGTGAATGGGCCCTGCTTGATGAAGCAATAGTTCCTAAAACAACATGCTGGGAAGCACTTAGCTTAGAAATTCCATTACAAAAGAGACTGCCAGCTAGCTATGCTAAGTTAGACCTCTATAGCTCAGTATCTACAAACAATACCCCCCCCCCCAAAAAAAAAAAAGCCCAAAAATCCTGCCTCTTTTCATGTGCCTGGGTTCTTGCCCTATATGTTGTGTGTGTTTTACTTTAGGAGAGTGTGTTACAGCTGTCCTGTGTCTCACTGGCCCCTCTTTAAGATGTTTGCTTTTTTGTCTGAGGCTCTTTAGTCTTAGGCTTGTCTGCCATGTGAGCATTGCCTCCTGTTCTGTAGTGACACTCAGCTGTCCCATCTTCAGGTTCCTTCTGTCAGGAGCATCTTGTGTCTGTCCAGCTGTGCAGAACCACAGCTGTCTTTAGGCTGTTTCCGCAGGATGGGTGTTGGGTTCAGAGTTCATGTGTCTTTGTGGTGATGGTAGTGGTGGTGGTGATGGTGGTGGTGGTGGTGCCTGATGTGTTCATCAGCAGCTGCTGTTTGCATTCTTTTCTATGCCCAGGCTGCCATGTCCTGTATCCTCTTATTTCCATCACTTTTATTTTGGGCCGGCTGTAGGAGGTTGTTGGGTTTTCACTTAATTGATTAGTAATAAGTTTGGGTTCTCTTCACACATGTGTAGTTTCTTGGGTTTCTTTGATGCATCATTTATGTAGTTTGTCCCTTTTTCCATTTGGTTGCTAACAACCTCCACCCCCAACTCCATGGTCCTTCTTTGATATTCTAGAACATCAATCTGTTGTCACTTCCAGGGAAAAAGAGGGAAAAAGCATACTAATGCTGAATGCGTGGGAAGGACATAGCAGCAGTAGTCTACAGGACAGTCCTTCTAGACTCATCAGTACAGCTTTTGGATAACTCACTAGGTTACAGTCCCATTGCCTGGAGTCTGCAATGCTGTAACATGTAGGCACTGATTCTAGGCTCGTCTGGCTGAAGCCTCTGAACAGTGACTATTTGGAGATCATTCTTCAGATGTGTGACATTTAGAACAGGTGTGTCTCCACTCAGTGTGTTTTGTCCTCACATTGAAAGAGCAGAGTGGGTTCATTTGGCCCTAGCTGGGTCTTAAATCCTTCCAGGGTTCCTGTGGTTCCTGTTCCTCTTTCTGAATATATCTGTTTAATTACCACCTGAGGGTTTGTTCTAGTCAATACATTATTTCTGGTTCATAGTCACTCTCTTCATGCCTACTTTCTGAAGAGGGCTGAGGGACCCACTGCTGCCACGTGGTGTCATTCCATCCCACCCTCCAAGATTTTGCTCTTGTGGTCCTCTTTAGTCATTGGAATCTGGCACCGATGAGTGCATAAAACCCCCTGTGGTTGACTGTCTCAGAATTCACCTCCAAATGCTTCCTGATGCTCTGCAGGTTCCCTTTGTTCCCATGGGAAAGAGTTATGGGATGTCTTTGAGCTTGTGAGTTGCTTTGTGGGAAATAAGGTGACCAGGGCCAATCCTACACTCTTTGTAAGAAATTATCTATCTCATTTCTTGGCCTGGTGGGATTGTGACCATAGACTTCTTGGCATCTTTAGGGATGAGTTTTTGCAGTTAACCTTACTGGGAGATAGCATGGGCAGTGTCTGGTCTACTGTGGAGGACTCTTTCATTCAGCGCTTGATGTGAATGAACAGTTTGAGTGTCTTTCCTCCCACTCTCTACTTTCCTTCTCTTGCCACTTGGAAGAGATAGGAAGTTGGAGCCAGGCCAACCCCTAAGGGGGTTAGGGGTCCTGAGTGCTTGGCTCTCATGCTTCCTTGAGAGCTGTCTTTGCCTCGGAAGTACTTTGTGAAGATTATGGCTGCCTCAGGGCAGAGCCTTGCAGAGGGAGGAAGTAGGCCCTCAATAGGCTTTCTGTTGGGCAGCCTTTGATGATACTAGATTCTGGAAGTTACACTTGGAGAGATCTTGAGCCAGATCTGCAGAGGCAAGGGTGAGGAACTGCAGACATGAGGAACCTACTGGAAACAAGGCCTCTTTTAGGGCTTAACTTCAGATTGTTGCTGGGGGACAGATGAGGCGCACACAGAGGTGCAGAGAGGGTGGCATGCCCTGTGTGACTTCTCTAAGGCCTTAGAGTGGTTATCGCTCCCTCGGGTGGTAACTTCTGCATACCTTGAAGATTTTGCTTGGACCCTTCTACATTCTGTATATTAACTGTTTAATTTCTGTGTTTGTTTAGGGTGGTACAGAGGCTACACCTTAAGGAAAAAGTCTAAGAAGGTAAGTCCTTTCATTAAACATGTCTCATCATAAATCAAACCATGAGAGGAAATTAATTCTTTCTTAATTGTCTCTAAGTATGTTACTTACCTGTCTGTTTCTTGGAATTTAACAAATATATGGGCTGAGATTAAAACAAAACAAAACAAAATAACAATGACCATGAGTTGGCTTCTTCTGAGTAATGTATGTCTGTAGAAATTGCAACTTCAGCTGGGAATTGTGTTGCATACCTAGAACTTCAGTACTAGGCTAGCCTGGACTATGTGGTGAGACCCTGTCCCCACAAATGACATTTCAGCCAGGTGGTTAGTTCCTGGAGTGAATTGTTAAGCTTTGATGTGCTATTGACCTCTACTCATGAAAGGCAGAATCTTTTTGTCCTGATAGAATTTTGCATCTCATTGAACCACTGTGTGTAGCCATGAACAGAGTGTAATGACATTGGAAACTGAAATGCTGCAAATAGTTTCCAGTTTCATATAATCTTTGATAAATTAACAAGTTTGCAAAGCTCACACATGGCCATTTCCCTCTTGCCTCATGGCAGTTTTCAGACTGGCTTAGTCAAGTTGAAAAAGCTCGATTTTCTGGGGTGATTTGCATGTGTGATTCTATGAATATCTGAAACAAAAGCATGCTATTACTCCTCAGATATTGCAGAGGGCACACCCATACACAAGGGTGTGTGGCTTTGACATTCTTAGCTTCACAAGACCTAATTATGGCTCATGTTTTTTCTTCTGTCATGCCACACTGTTGTAGGAATGCCCATGCTAAGCTGTGGTTAGTTCATCCATGTTAACTTGGATGTTTTAATATCTGATTGGGTTTGACAGATGGTTCATTTTGCTTCTCAGAATTGGCCTCTCATTACTATTGTGTCCAACTGGACTCTCTGTTGTGATCTCAAGTATATAATGGGGCTATGGAAGCCCAGTGTTTTCCATGCCAGGGCCTCCCTGCTCTGCATCCTCAGAGGCCTGGGCTGGCCTTTGCCAGCCTGGCTAGAGCTCCATGAAGGCTTTGAAACTGCCCATCCTTTTATGGATTTCAACTAGGGAAGGGTCCAGCGGGGAGCCATGGCTGAAGATTTCAGGAGGCAAGAGATTAGAAGTGTTATGGTTTCTCAGTGGTGATGTGCTTACCTCTAAGGACTAAGTTCTACCTCTAGCATCAATATTTAGAGCCTTAAAGTCTGGGTGGTTGCACATGCTTGTAGTTGTACTGTGAAAACAGAGACAGGAGTTTAGCTGGCACTCACTGTCCAGGCAGGCTTGTCTAATTGGTGAGCTTCAGGTAGTAGTGAGAGCCCTTGTCTCAAAAAATAAGGTGGATGGCTCCGAGGAACAGCACCTGAAGTTGACTTTCGTATGTGTGTGTACATACATGTACACGCACAGGTACTCGCTCCATGTTTAAATGGATTGTAATACTCCTTTATTATATAGGACAAACCTGCTCTGCTCTGATGAGCACATGCCCAGGAAGGCTACTCAGTTTCCTTGCTGCTTATTTGTTGTCTGGCAACCCCGTCCCCATCTTGGGCTCTCTCCCATTCTTCTAGTGCTTTGGAACCTCAGGATTTTCTGCCTGGCCCCAGGATACCCAGGTCTTCCACCTCTTTATGCCCTAATGCTGCAAAAAGGTGTTGCTGTTTTCCACCTGAGATCCCTGTTGGTGAATGGGGAAATGAAAGCCTTGCAGAGTTTGGTTGTAGTTTTGTGAGGTGCCTTCAAGCAAAATGAGAGAAGCAACACTTTTAGGTGTCTTGGCCTAGAGTCCTGCATGAGCATCATCTGTCTAGATATTTGTAGAAGTGGGGCTGGGCGTTTATTTCAAATCTCCAGGCACATCCCCATCTCATCCAGCCATAATCCTTCCTTGGGCTTCACGATGTTGAGTACCCAGACTGAGGGCTTCCTGTTTGTGAACTTGGCAGGGCTGGGCTGGCTTGTGCATTGTCTTAACCCCCCCCCCCCACATCCAAACCCACACCAATTGGCATTATGGAAAAATTGCCTGTTCTGTGTTCACCTTCAAGCCATTCTGGGATGTGAAAGTGTCTTGGTACCAGGGTCCTGGATTGAATAACTTGGACTTCTTGATTGGTCAGCCTCGACTTCCCCGACTCCTTCCCTTGATGCAATAGTATTCCTCTGTGTGGAATCTAGTCACTTTGCCGGTTGACAGAAGAAGTAGAGATCAGCAGTACTTGCTAACCACGTTCAGCCCTCTTTGAGTCCCATTTCCTTCCAAGCATTATTGGCAGCTTGCTTTCTGAATGTCTGCTGTAGACTCTTCTTGGCAGATGTCTGGGGACTCCAATCAGAAGCTCCTCTTCCCACAGTAGATACCTTAAAACACCAGGGCACTTACTGAATTTCTGCAATGTACACTAGTGGTCTCCGGCTTGTGCTGAGCCAAGCTTCTGGGAGTTGCTGGTTTGTGCTGCTCTAGATCCCATGAACCAGGTTTTGATAAACTTCTAGCACTTTGCAGAACATGACTGATACTGAAGTTCTTCTCAAGGAACAATCTCCTTTGCGCAGGACTCTGATGGGCCACATGTCTCTACATACACATGTGTTTACACTGTACATGGGAGAGCCACAGCCATGATTATAGAAACATAATCTAGCATGTTTCCTTAGCACTTTTGCAGATGGGTTGAACTTCACCCTTTCTTCTGGCCTTTTACCATTGTCCCCTCCATATGGAGACTGAGCATGAAGGCCCCATGGCTGTCACTCAGTGACCAGTGGACAAGTGGCAATCAATGATTTAAATCAACTTTTGATGACTGTCTTGTCATTTTGTAAGGGGAACTCTTTCAGAGCCCATCATCAGAATTGGTTTCTGGCAACAGACTTGTTGGGTGTGCCAGCACCAAGGTTGGTAGCGGGGAGGTGGGGCGACCTATGAAGGGGAACATTATCTGGGGCCTTTGTGAGATGGTTGCTTTGCAAACATGTCTCTGTATTATTCTAAGACATCTGTGCAGTCTGAAATACAAGCTGATTGGGACATTCTTTTCTTTGCTTCGTGTTTTCTTCGTTGTGTCATACGTGATGCTTACACTTGCAAAATTAATGGTGAACCAACCCCCTATACCCTCATGTTTTGGGGCTATTGTTTGATTTGCAGTCAGTATTCACATTGATAATAAAAACTCTCTTTCCCTCTCAAAGGGTATATTTCCTGCTTCATATATCCATCTTAAAGAAGCAATTGTTGAAGGAAAAGGGTGAGTCTTTTCTTGATATTTAAATGAAGTTTTAGAATGATTAATGTGGCATTGCTACCAGATATGTGATAGGCTAAGTTGAAGTGGGGCTGGAGAGATGGCTCGTTGGTTAAGAGTATGGACTGCTTTTGCAGAGGACTCGAGTTTGTTTTCAAGTGTCTGGTGTCTCACAACTACTTGTAACTCTAGAAAGGGCACTTGTATTCATGTACACACACACACACACACACACACACACACACACACACACACACAAACATACCACATCCAGAACCCAACATATAATACCACTGTAAAGTCTCTTATTTAACAGGTGTTATAAACATCAAAACAGGATGACTATATCTAAGAAGTAATAATACAAACGTGTATTGTGTGTGTGTGTATGTATGTATGTGTATATATACATATATATTTTAAGATAGTAATAGTAACTTATTATAAAAGATAATAGCTGTGTTTGACCATGTTGGTTTAGGACAATAAAGGCACTTGGGATTCAGTCACATTTGTTTTTGACCCATTAGAGTCCAAGGTCAGTGCCTTGGTTATTGTCATCTCCTTGAAACTGCAGTCCATTAGGGAAATGTGGGTCTCCTCTATGAGCTACCCTGTATGGCAGTGGCCACCCTGGACGCTTAGCTGAGTCTTTTTATTCCTGGAAATCTCAGCAGGGTGTGATATAGAGTTGAGTGGCAATGAATGGTTGTTAAGTTAGGACCATTAGAAGTCACGTGTCAGCTAATTGAGGTGTATAGCTCCTGGAGGTTACCAGACTGATGGGTAAAGTCCTAAAAAGGACATTCCTAGAACAGGAACCTGTGGCAGGTGTGAACTGGGGGAGATAACATTCAAATGTTTTCTTTTTTGGTCTCTGCTTCATCTTCACACTCTGTTAAATATGTAAATTATAAAATTACTAATCATATGATTACTGCATAATGACATCTCTTTGGCTGATTACAAAATTGCCTTTCTGAGCACTGTACTTTTAACATATGAAAAGGATGGCTTGGGTTCTTGCACTTCCCCGGCGCATAATTAGAGTGAAGGGAATAATTTAGAGGCATGGATGGTGCTGACCTGCAAGATGGCATTCGTTCAGACACATAAAATGTTTTGTATGCAAAATTCTAAAAAGGAAGTTGAGGAAGTTTTACCTTAGGATGAAAATAACTGAAGTGTACATGTGATGCGCAGGGGTCAAAATCCTTATATAAGTCAGCTTGTATAGGAGTAGTAATTTTTCAAAAGCTTTTTTGAAGTATATGAAAGTGTCTGTGTGTGTGTGTGTGTGTGTGTGTGTATGTGTGTCTGTGTGTGTGTGCGCGCGCGTGTGTATCTATTCAGCAGCATACTATTATGGGAATGTGGAATTATCTGGATTCTTCCAGCAGGCAGACAAGGCCCACTGGTCTTCTGGGATCAGGTGGCAGTGTGGTGAGCATCCAGTACTGTGTGACATGAGCAGTGCACAGATGTCCTGGTGCTGCTTTTGACTGCCAGCCTTTATTCCCCACACTCCTTTTCTGCCCCTGACTTCTGCTCCCACTGTATCTGGCTGCTCAGCTTTCCCCCCACTCCTCACCCCCTTAGATTCTTCTGCTGGAGGATCTGGCAGATGACCACAGTCCCTTGGTTTCTTTTGGCTTCTGCAGATATCTGCTCTCTTTTCTGCTGGTCCTTCCTCTTGCCCTGTGCTAATTCCACCACTCCTTTACCTCATTCCACCTGCCATAATTTTCAGGCTTATTATCATATTTTATTCATTCATACTCTATTACACACCTTTTCTGTCACCTTGAGCTGGTCTATCCCTGTAGGAATTGCTAGAATCTGGGCTTCTGACCTTGATCTTTCTTTGGACCTGTGGTTGGTTCACTTCGGCAGTGGTTAGTGACCTAAGGATCTCCAGTCAGGAGTGGTGTCACATGCCTGAAATCCCAGCTCCTAATTGGGAGGTAGAGGCAGGAGGCTCAGGAGTTCATGCCATGGCTACATGGGTTACATGTCACCTTATCTCAACTCTATCCAACCTCCCAATCTCTTCCCTCTCTCTAGAAAACCAGTTACTGTTTCTGGCTTAGAGCCTGCTCTTATCCATTTAGTCTTTTAAAGAATTACTTTAAATAAAAAATGGTGTGCATTTATGGTGTCTAATATGCTACTTGAAGCAGACACATATTTCAGAGTGGCAGTTCAGGCTAGTTCACACAAGGTAATTATGAGAAACTGCCTTCTGGTCCTACTTACCTGTGGTCAGAACACTTGAAGTCCATGCTTCTAGCCATGTTTAAGTGCAAAGTATGTTCTCAGTGACAGCAGTCACCATGTTGGACAGCATGGCTCTTGGATTCATTCTCTCTGTTTAATGATGTGTCCTTTCTCCAGCCTGTGTCCCCTTCCCACTTACTGATACACACAGCCAGGACTCGTTCCCTCCATCCTGTGTGTTCACAATGGATAGGCAGGTGTTGTTGGGGTAGCACCATTCTGATCCTCCCACTTCTTAGCCTTGTGACTCCCTCATCCTTTAGTGATGCTCAGGTGGGACTCCTTTCCTTCATCTGATGAGCTTGTCCACAGCTAATAAAGCAGACATTGTTGTCTGTGCCTCCCTGACTTCTACCACATATGAATGATGTGGTTTTTAAAATCCAGGGAAATAAATACTACAAAGTAATGTATATGTTGATAAAGAGTTAACGCCAAGTCAAGGGCTAAATCTCCTAGGGTCGAAGGAAAAGTTCAGTGAGTAGTCTTGGGTGGGACTGGATAGAGTCTTGGTGAACACTTGAAAGCTGTAATCTTACTCACATCTAAGCAAGGATAATTACACCCTGCATCATCATATAATGAGTTGTATACCTTATAGAAAGGTTAAAATAATCTTAACTGAAACCTGCACTTTAATGGCACACACAGCCTGGGTGTGGTTTATGGCACTCAAATAGATGGGTGTACACATATCCTGAATATACTTTCCACTTCTCAACCCTTGGCATTCTGAAGACTTTCAGTGGCTAGTCTTTCTCATCTTCTTCTTTCTCCAGCACACAAGTTTCACGACTTACAGGCAGGGTAACAGGTAGACATCCCCTTGTTCTGTACAAAGAACTTGCCATTCATAGGTGTGTCTGTTCACACATTTGAACATAATTGTGTTTGTTTATTTTCCCCATTTGAGCTCTCCAGCTTCTGTAGGGACTCAGTTGGGTGTAACTCCCAATAAAGTCACAGAATCAGCTACTGTCTTCCTCTTTCATCCCAGGCAACATGAAACTGTCATCCCAGGGGACCTCCCCCTCATACAGGAAGTCACCACAACTCTTCGAGAGTGGTCCACCATCTGGAGGCAACTTTATGTGGTAAGGAAATGGGATGCTCGGTTATGGTCCTTGTACCAACACATAGTTTTACCTCTCTGGGAACCCAGAGAGGAGAGCCTCTGATGCAGGGCTTGCTTCTCACTGACAGAGCAAGCACTGTGATCATTGTTCTGGCTACTGTTGGGGACCCTGAAGCCTTGATCTCTGTTGTATTGGGATGCATTTTGCTCACTGTATTGAGTAAACTGAACTAAAATGGATGTTGGCCTTGGATCAGTCTTGCTTTATGTTGGGCAAGGGGGACCGTAGATGCTGTCAGGCCTTTGAAGGAGAGGGTCAGGTTGAGGTTACCTCTGAGTGTATATTTTGATCATGAAAATTAAAACCTACTTTTGCATTGAAATCAATTAGTTTTGAAGGCTTACTAGAGGGTTACTACTAATTATTGTATTTTTGTCACTGACTACCTGTAAGTGATAGGTCTTATGGTCCAAGGAATATGATAGTCTTGATATATCGTGTCTGAGGTGAGGCAGAGAACATTTTAAATTCTGACTCTGTGCACAGTTGTCCAGTTCTTATTAATGCAGAGATGTTGGAGCTCTGACATCTTGCATTTCATTTTCCCTTGGGGCATTTCTTTGCACATAAATCCATATTTGCCAAAGATTACCTTTTGTTAAGCCCGTATTTCTATTCAGAGTGTTGATTTCTCATATGCTAATGTTATTATCACCGAGCAAGGGCCCTGGAAGGAAGTCACTGCGTTCATTTTTCGGGAACATAGAAAACTTCCTAAAGTCTCCACAGCTGTTCTCTGGGCAGGCTTGTTTTTGATTATACAGTGGTTTCCTATAAATGCTCAGTAATAAGCACTTGTGGTAATTGTTCATCAAAGTACTCACAAACCTAAAAGTGTAAAGTTAACCATGAATGTTTTGTGTAAATCTGAGCAATTTTATAGTGGGTATTTCATGTTCAACTTAGCAATTTTTAAGCAAAAATGTGATCACACAACAAACAGGAGTTGCTATGGACTAATACGTGAGTGGAGAGCATTGCTCTCCTTGTCTTACAGTCAGCATCCTGAACCATCAACTGTTTCCTTCTACAAATGGCAAATTCACCTCTGATGGATTTATGTTGTTAGATCTGTGCATAGCCAAGTCAAAGGCGGCACTAAAAATTTAGATGCATTCTTTTAGTTTAGCTACGTAGGTGGCGGGAGGATAAGAGGAAAAGAAACATGTTTTGCAGTAAATTCTTAATTTGGACCTCTTTTAGCTTTCATTTAAGAAATCAAAATTAGGAGTCTGGCCTGGTGGCGTGCACTCGGAAGGTGGAGGCAGGGAGATTAAGAGGTCATGGCAAAGTCTCTGTTGCATTCCACTTTCTGTAGTTCTTGGCACATTGTCAGGTCTTAATAAATATTTGTTGAATAAATTGAAAAAAATTAAGGATGAGGCTAATCTAGGATACATGAGACCCTACCTCAAAACAACAATAACAAATAAAAGCAAGGAAAAGAAGGAAAAATAAAGGAAGGAACTAGAGTTAGACTAATATAAAAACAGCTTGGAGAGATGGCTCGGCAATTAAGAGCACTTGGTGTTTTTCTAGAGGACCAGAATTTGATTTCCAGCACTTGTATCAGCATTTCATAACTCCAACTCCAGGGGATCAGATACATTCTCTCATGGACTAGAAAATAACTTGTCAGAGTGTTGGGTAGGTGGTAAGGTTCTTTTGAAAACTCCTAGAAAGAGGACTTTCAAATGGTTTTCAAATATGAGATAGTGAGGGAGGGCATGGTTCAGATATTGTAGGGTGGTGCTCATACAAGAGGAATTCCACATTTTAATTTTTGAAGGGATCATGATGCACAATATATAATTATTAAGTCCTATTTGGATGCTCAGAAGCAGAACATTGTAGGCAACCTAAGTCTCCTTGATGAGTTATACCAACAATTGCAAACTTGATGCTTTGTCTTTTTTGTTTGTTTGTTGTTTTTTTGGTACCACAAATCCAATAGACAAAAGGTTTCTTGAGAAGAGCCAGTTTTCTTTTGATGTAGATGCAACAAGAGTATTCATGGATAGATACTTGCTGCCCTATGTGTTATAATGGTCACAGTGTCCCAGGGAAGACTGGTACAGGATGGCCTATATGTCAGCTGGCATGGTTTTTGGGGCCCAGGCAGAGGGTATTTTGAAGACCATACCCCAGTGGAGAGTATTTTACTTGGAGAGTAAAATAGTCAGTGCTTCTAGGCATGCCTACCGTATTGATATTGTGACATATCAGTCTTTGTTAACTACAGAGTTTCAGGCTCTACAATGGAGCAGTGAAGTTAGAGAAAAAGAGTCTCCTTATGTTTTAAGTGAGCTTATAGTTTTGTGTTAGACCACATTCATAGGGTCCTTGGCTGCACATAACACACATTCAAGCATTGAAGGTGCACAGGATGCTGAAACTTCCTGGCCATCCTGAGACTCTAGGCCCCATTCTTGCTGTGTGTTTTGTGCTTGGGAGTGTATTATGCAGTCCAGAGAGGTGTGCTACCTCTTGTAATTCTTTTAGAGTCTCGTATAAAACGTGTTCTGTTTGATGTGAGAATTTGCTTCTCATCTGACAGTCACTGAGTCCTGGGAAGCAGTGCATATTCTCTTTGTATTTGAAGAACTGTCCATTTGGTAGGATCTCCACTGTGCTGTTTTTTTAAATCAGAACCTTTACAGTTTCCTTTTACCCCGCTCTATAGCAGGATAATCGGGAGATGTTTCGAAGTGTACGACACATGATCTACGACCTTATCGAGTGGCGGTCACAAATCCTTTCTGGAACACTGCCCCAGGATGAGCTCAAAGAGCTGAAGAAGAAGGTCACAGCCAAAATTGATTATGGAAACAGGTTTGTTTATTTAAAAGGATGATTTCATGCTTAAATCATCCAAGATAATAGCACAACCCTAAGCCTAGAGGATGTCTCAATTACATTTTATCGTAAAACCAAATTTCTAAATATCAAAATAATGGCATGGCTCACATTCTAATCTGCCTTACCCAGTCATGCTTCAAGGTCTCTGTGGTGGGGCTGTGAAGCTGGGTTGGGGTACCCCACCAGTTTTTCTGTTTTGTCCACACTCCTGTTGTGATCTTCAGTGCGCTTTTACTTTGTACCCATAACATTTGACATTGACAAGTGTCGATGGGCAGTAGTGAGCCTTATATTATTTCCCGTGGCTCCTTTGGTCTGAATGCCAGACTAGATGTTAAATGTCATCATGAAACTTTTCTCTAGAGTTGACATGCCTGATCTAACAGCCAGAAGCACAGCTCTCATAAGTTGTAATTGAGATCAATTACACGTCTTTGTTTGGAAAAGTTTCTGTGTATGGGAAGCGTCCTGAGGAGAGCATGCTGTGTTGTTGGCTACCATGAACATGACTGTTTTGGTCCTACTTCTGCCATATCAGTAGCCAGGATGGGAAGTCATGGTCTCCCCCACCTGGTACCCGTTTGCTTGTTCACATGATATCACAGCTGCAAGAAGCCTTAAGAATGGACAGGTTTTTTATTTCTCTGATGCCTCTTTACCTCAGAATTCTTTGGGGAACTTTCACTATACTGGATCTGAGGACCCACTCCTGGGATTCTGAGTTCTGCTGTCTGGTGCTAGGTAGAGAGTGTGTTCAGGTGGTGAAAATCTTAAGCTGTAGTCCACACCCTTCCCCATTTTTACACATGAGAATGTGGAGGAGAGAGCAGGGCTTGCCTCTTGCCCATCACTTTTGAGGACCCTTAGGTAAGTCACAGGATCTTTCTATAATAACTGAATTACTGAATAACTAAACAATTTTGTTTTCTCATAATCCTACCCCACCTTTTTCATATGTGAAAGTTCTCTAATGTCACATTAAGTGTGACTTTATTTATTTTCCCCTCCAAGGCCAGAGATTCCAGGTATAGGATATTAGATACCATTTCAATGAAACCCATTACAAGACCCCTGCTTACAAAATCAAACCTTTGGAGCTCTGATTTCATTTTCTGTTGGAGAAGGCTGTTTTTGAAGTCAGGTTCAGAGACCACCTGCTTAATCTGGCTGCAGGAAACAACCTAAGTACATTACACCATGGAACAATCTTGTTAAGACAGAAAGTGTTTCCAAATGTAATTTACTGCTTGGATAGGAAATGCAACCTTATTAAGACAGGTTTGCCTGAGGACTGCAGGCCAGTCTCCCTCTAAAGCCCAATGCTCTCTACTTATCTTCCTACTCCCTCCTGTAGAACATGAAGTAATAATAATAATACAAATAAGATAAAAGCGAGGGCTGTTTGATTTTAGGATCATCTGGTCTCTCAGTAAGCAGTTCCTTATTTTCATCATCATCATCTATGCATTCTTTTACCTTTTACCTGAGTTGGGGGCAAGGTGAGGCGAGTGTTCAGGGAGCTGTGGTAAATGTGGTCATGGTCATAGCCTATTTCTCTATGAAGATGTCCTTGTAAAACACAAACATAGGTTGCGCGCACACACATGCGCATACACACACACACACACAAACACACACACACCCCCCTATACCCAGTATACCCAGCCAGGTCCACAGCCATACTTACCCATAGAAATCTGCATGTATATCCAGACTCAAACAGAGATACAGGGACATGCTCATACTGACTTCAGCAGGAGGTATCCAGCCCCTTCTTTAAACCCTTTGCCATCCCATGGGACTAGTCTCTAACCTTGTTATGGTTAGACCAACACTCCTCAACAGAGCCAGTGTATTGATTGCTGAGATCAATGGAGACTGGTTGATGTGACCAGCTACCTTATACGGTGATGGTGGTATGGCAAGAATATGTGCCATCTTTTTTATTCTTTAGATATTTGGTCTCAGTCACATAACTAGTTACACTGAACTTCCATTTCCTTTTTTTTGTGAAGTGGGTCTGACCAGGTTTTCTGTCTAGACTCAGGTGACAATGACATCACATGGTAACCATGGTAAGCAGGCAGAGGGCTTGATCTATATCTTCCTTGAGAGGGCCTCACTAGGTGTGGCCTGTAGGGCCTTGTGGCTGGGTCTCCAGGAGCTCACCCATCCCACCCACATACCATTGGCCATGCCTACACAGTGCTGACCCAGCACACACATCAGAGCTGACTACACCCATACATCACTGAGCTCACTTACACAGTGCTTACCCATGGTATTGGTATTGACTTTTAGAGCTGGGTCAAGGCTGGGATGAATGAGTTGACCATATTTGAGAAGTTTTGCTTTGTTAGTGGAACTGTTACAGAGGCAGCTAGTGATCCCTTGCAAGGCTTTCGCCCTCATGTCCCCATGGATGGTATGCATGTGCAGGGTGTAGTGATGAGCTGATTGTCCATACCTGCCACAGTTATTAGTCTTGCACACTTCACTTGAACACCTGAAGATCTGTAAGTTCTGATTGGAAGGAGAAGGCTTTATTGAAATGCAGGTAACACTGAGTAATTTCCATTCTCCCCGTTGTGACACATTTTGAGTTACAGAAAGCTGTGCCACAGACTGGTATTCTCTTAACAGTTGTGTTCGAGTCCCAGTTTTTGAGGCATTTTCATCTGCTCAATGGCTGGGGCTGTCATTATGCTAGTGAAATCACTGTCTTGGTTCATGTCCTCTCCACTCTGAATTCTTGGTATTCTAGAATTCTTGATTTGGACCTGGTGGTGCGGGATGAAGATGGGAACATTTTGGATCCAGAACTGACCAGCACCATTAGTCTCTTTCGAGCACATGAAGTAGCTTCTAAACAAGTGGAGGAACGACTACAGGAAGAGAAAGTGAGTTCACCTCTTCAATGTGTGCTTTGCATGGTGATTGTGTTTCTTAGCAACTGCACTGAGTAGTAGAGAATGTCAGGGAAGGCCAAAGTTGGTACTAAAAAGATCCCCCGCCCCGCCCCAGGCCAAAGCAAGTGCCCAATGTGTTTCAGAAAAGCAGTGGGTTGGGATGGAACCAAGTGGTATGGCACAACCTATTAATTTAGCAGGTATTGGTTTGGCATCATTCTAGCGAGAACCACTAATCCAGCAGTCAGTTTGTCGATAGGACACTTGGAAGACCCACATCCTTGCAAACACTCTGGGCGCTGTGTGGTTTGAGAACACGTAGTGGGGACACAGTGACTGTATGAGCAGCATGGCTGAATGGAGGCAGTTGGTGGTGTCTTTTCCCTATTCTATAGGGATTAAAAAGAGCAAGGGTTATTGTCCAGGTTGCTCACATTGACATACTGTCTTTCTGTCTTTCTGTTTGTAGTCTCAAAAGCAAAATATAGACATCAACAGACAAGCAAAGTTTGCAGCAACCCCATCTCTGGCCTTGTTTATTAACCTCAAAAATGTGGTTTGTAAAATCGGAGAAGATGCAGAAGTCCTCATGTCTCTTTATGACCCCATGGAGTCCAAATTCATCAGGTAGGCGACTTCCCCACTGCAGGCTTCGTCAGTTACTTGTCTCATGAAGCACTTTCATCAGGGAGGGTTTACTCTGACCTATAGTCAGGCCAGAGGATGTGGTCCAGCATGGTGATACCCTGGCAGTGGGAGTGACTCTCAGCTGATGTCAATACACTGCTCATGATTTTTGTCAAGCTGCCAAAAATCTACAGCCATCTGGGAAGAGGGATCTATAATTGAGAAAATCCCTCTATCATGTCCCATAGGTAAGTCCAAGGTGCGATTTCTTGATTAATGACTGATTTTAGGAGGGCACAGTCCACTGTGAATGGTGCCACCCATAGGAAAGTGGTCCTGGGCGGCATACAAAACAAGCTGAGTGAGCCTTGGAGAGCAAGCCGAGTTCCGGCTTTGAGTTCCTGCCCTGACTTCTCCTCTGGAAGGACTGTGAATTGTAAGATGAGATAAGCACTTTGCTCCCCATGGTTCTTCAAGTCACGCTGTTTATCTCAGCCATGGAAAGCAAACAACTTCACCCTACAAGCATCACCTTTGCAATTTGCAAACATTTGGTCTAGAAATGTCTTCTGTAGCTTTCACCTCTCAGTTGTTTCTCTAAGCTGATGGGCTAGTGTGCATGTGGTTCATTTCCTCTTGTTGCATGAAGACTCATAATAAATATCTGTTGAACAAAAACATTGTAAATACATTAGCCCTCAATAAGACTTGCTCTTTATCCCGATGAAAAAGCTATGATCAAATTGTGTGAAATGTGTGCATATCTGTGTATTAACACTCCTGTATTTTCACTTGAACTATCAAAATTTAAACATGTAGTATTTATAGGAAATAACACATAGGTGATTTTTATTCTCATTTCTGATAAGTGCTTTCTTTCTTTTTTGATAGAGATGCCATTTGCATTTTATGGCTTACTTGGCTTTTCGAAGGCTCTGAATTAAATATACATTGTTGCAAATTGAATACACAGCTCTGTATTGTTGTCATTCTAAATGGACAGAGAAGCTTTTCACATTTTAAACACTGAAATGTCGTTCTCAAATATTTCTGTTACAGGGATAACCCATGTCACAGAATGTGAAAGGGCTGTTCATACAGTGCCTGAGTGGCAGAGTCTCTATGCCTCAGTGTTTATAAACTCAGGGTTAGGTGCATAGTGGACCTCCATGTTGTTAATTATAAGGCCTTATGAGATACATTGGGTACCCATCTGTGTTTGGAAGATTCATTTGTTCCTGTTTTTTTTTTTCCTCAAGTGAAAACTACCTGGTTCGTTGGCCCAGTTCAGGATTACCGAAAGATATTGATCGGTTACATAACTTGCGTGCTGTGTTTACGGTGAGTCCATCCATGCCCATGGGTTGAGTGTTATTGAGACCAGCTTTTATGGCTGTGTTGTTGTAGGAAGACTTCTCAGCACTGAATGTGCTGAGGGCCTGGGGGTGGCTGTCACATCAGCTAATCCAGGAATCACTGAGCCCTTATTGGAAGTTTCTGAGTTTTATCTCTGCTTAGCATTACTGTGAGGCAGATAACTTCATCTCCCTGGAGCCCATCTCTTTAGCTCATGTCTTCAGTCACTTAGCCAAGTGTCTGCTATTCCTTTATTCCTTCTTGTCATGTGAACAACATAAAAGTATATTAGCTGGCCTGAGAACAGACACTGGTCCACTTTTACGTCCTTTTCAAATTGGATTTATGCTGAGTCATGGTTCTCCATAATAATTTATGGAAATTAATATTTCTAGGATCTTGGGAGCAAAGACCTGAAAAGGGAGAAAATCAGTTTCGTCTGCCAGATTGTCCGAGTTGGTCGCATGGAGCTGAGGGACAGCAACACCAGGAAGCTGACTTCTGGGCTGCGGCGTCCTTTTGGCGTGGCTGGTAAAATCCATGTCTCTGTTTCCCTTTGAGTTTCAGACCATTCACTTTGAGGAAGGACAGCGGGCCACTTTGATTTATGTACTTTGCTGCTGGAGAGGAAACTATGGGTGTAATTTTTTTTATATAGCTTGGAGCCTACCTGCTGTAGCGACAGTGCTTTAGATTCAGATTAAATCTGGTCTGGTTTGAAAGCAGATCCCAGCTTTTACTGGGAGAGACACTGAATCACCTGCCAACGCTGTGGAGAAGTCAGCACTGGGAGGCTTACTGGACTCAGGGCTTGATTTAGTAGGAGACAGGCACAGCCTGGCTCTATGAGGACACAACCTAGCTAGCTCATGGGCTTGCTACCATCCACATCTCTGCTTGGTGTTCTTTTGATCTTTTGATGTCCATTTGTTTTCTTCATTATGTAGAGAAGTGTTTTTTTTTTTTTTTGTTAGAGTTGCAGGGAAATTCTTTCATCGACTTCTCTTGACACTAATGTCCATGATTTTTAGGAATTGTGTTATTCTAGTGTCATCCTGTTGCTGTGATAAAACACTATGTCCAAAAGCAACTTGGAGAGGGGAGAGTTTATTTGGCTTACATTTCCAGGTCACAGCCCATCATGTGGGAAGTCAAGGCAGTTCAAGTCAAGAAATTCATGGTAGAAACTATGAAGGACCTGCTTGCTAACTCATCCTCTGGCATACTTGTGCTTATGCTCAGCTAGCTTTCTTATATAACTCAGGAACTGATAACACCCATGGTGTTCTGGGCCTTTCTTCTTCAATTATGAATCAAGACATCACACATAGACTTATCCTCAGACCAAACTGATGAAGGAAACACTCAATTGAAACACCCTGTTCAGGTGATTCTAGGCTGTTTCAAGCTGACAATACTAAGTAGGACACATAGAAAAAAAATATATAGAAGCCGGGCATTGGTGGCCCATGCCTTTAATCCCAGTACTTGAGAGGCAGAGGCAGGCAGATCTCTTAGCCTGGTACACAGAGAAACCCTATCTTGAAACCCCCCACCCCAAAAAAAAAGAAAAGAAAGGAAGGAAGGAAGGAAGGAAGAAAGAAAGAGAGAAAGAAATATATGGGGAGAATTCTAATTCTTGATTTCTTGCATGAACAGTGATCAATGGTAGTCCTGGCTTGGCTATCAGGAAAGTCAGCCCTTGAGTTTTACTCCATTAAAAAGACTTTTATTTTCAGAAAAATAAGAATTGGGATGACAAAAAAACAAACTGCTCCCCATACACTTCACCCTGTTCTTAGCATTCTCTGCTGCTGTATCATCAGTGATTGTTATGTTTATGACAGACATTGGACATGTACAGTGGCCTTTCCTGGACTCTACAGTTTATAGGAACATTTGGTGATGGCATTCTGTCAGGGTGTGTGTGTTACATGTCTGAGTGTATACATGTGAATGTGGACATTAGAGGTCAAAGGTAGATATCTTCTTCTATCACTTGTTTGATACACCTTCTTTTTTGAAACAAGAGTCTTTCCCTGAACCTGGAACTCACTGATCTGTCAATTGAGCTCTAGGGCCTAGAGGTCTTCTTTTCTTCCTAACCACCCCCCACTCCCCTCTACCCCACCCCACCCCACCCCACCCCACCCCACCCAACTGTCAGGGCTGTACCCCAGCCACACACTACCATGTCTGACTTTTAGATGGGTGTTGGGATCACACTCTGGTACTCATGCTTGTGTGGCAAGCAGTTTACCTATTGAGCCATCTTCTCAGTCCCTGTTCTATGAGTTTTGACAAATGAATAATGGCACATGTCCACCATCCCATTTATAAACCTGGAGGATTCTGTTGAAATGTTGGGCTCTCCAATGGGCCGTCCCAGTAGCTTTATTATCCATGTTGAGAGTGGGCTTGCTCTTTCAAGTACCCAGGGGAAACTTGGCATTTGCATCCCTGAGTCCTTGAACACACACTGGAACTTACTCTCATTTTCCCAAGCTTGTAGCATCATTTTCATGTTCAGCTGAGGCACTTGTATCAGAACTTTCCTTCTCTTGGTCCCACATGCATGGCTGTTTTAGCAACATACTGTATTTTTTTGTCTCTAGTGCTTTAGTCTTCCCCAAAGCCACTGGAGAGATCTGTGACATGATAATGTAAGTTACATCTTCGGGCATGGATATTGCAGGTTCTCTGATTATTAGATCACTGGGGAGATCCTGCTGATAAGTTCCGGTGAGGCCATTGTTAGATTTCTGAAAGCAAATATTTTGCCTGAGGCGGACAGTCTCTCTCTTTAGATTAAAATGGGGGATTTTCCTAGCTTTTTCTGGTTCAGTTGTGATGTTCTGGGAACTCCTGAGGGGATGAAATGTGGGCAGATACTTGCTGGTGTTGCTATGGCTTCTCCATGCCTATAACATGCTTTCCATTTTCTTGGTGGAGCCTGGTGTTGGGTCACAGCCTCTCTGATCCCGTACTTCTCTGGAGCCAGAGCCTAGAGTATATGCTGGATTAGGGCCAGCAGATCTGATAGTCCTCTGTCCTTGGAAGTGCTTCTTGTGTTAAGTCAATGGACATCTGGTCCACTGTCTTGTCCCAGGTACTTGGATCTCTGATTTTGAGGCCATCACCATCATCATCTCCAGATGCCTGCTCATCACTGCAATGCTTACTTGCATCCCTGGTTATACACCCGGACTGATCTTTGCTCTTTTCTTTTGTCTCCTCTCCCTGGTTCTCTGCAGGCTCAGAACTGCTGGAAACCAGCCTGAGACAAACTCTAGGTGTTCTGACCTGTTGTTGCCTGGATTCTTGATGTGAACCTCTTTCTCTCTGCTGTCTCCTTGGCTGGTACCTTATATGCTGTAGGACACATGAAGTGCTGTAGAGGCCCTTGCAGGCAGTTTTATGATCTGTACTCTGGATGTGCAAATGTCTGTTCTCATGGCCTCTGAGAGGGACCACTGCTGCATTTACAGAAGCCTGGTCATTGCCTGCCTACTCAGGCTCAGTGCAGGCTCCTTTGTGTTGGTTCCCAGCACCTAGCACCCTGGCCTCTGCAGTCACCAGAGGACCAACTCTCTGGAGCTTCTACTTATATTTTCTTTTGCTCTCTGCCCTGTGACAGAGGGTGAACATTTAATCCTGTTCTTGTGCTATGTAGACTTTAAGAAGATTTTTTTATTGGCAAATTGCTATGCCCCAATCTGCTCTGTCCCCCTCCTTATGTGTCGGTATCCAGCATTCTCAGGGAATGTTCTCTTCTCTTGGCCCAGTCTTATGACTCCCAGAGAGTACCCTCATCCCCAGCCATAGGTTCCCAGTCTTATTAGGGACCCCCCTCCTCATACCTGAAAAGCGAGACTGACTTTTGGTAATGCTATTCCTAGGCAGCTCTATGTCCATGTGCACAAATTTAATTTTGAGGCTTTTTCCAGAACAATCTCTGCTGGTCTGTGCCAATAGAGCTGGTACTTGTGAATAAGAAAGGCATTCATGCACCTCTAAGCCCACAGGTTTTTTGTCTTTTATTGAAAATTACATGCACGATTCTTTGTGTTAAAGTATTTCCTAATGCACAAATGATTGGCAGCGGTGGAAAAAATCCTGGAAATTTTATGGAAAAGAAAGATAATTAGATAAATCATTCCTGATTTGACATAGCCAAGGTAGCACAACAATTTTATTGTTGGTGTACCCTTTTTTCTAATTTCTCCCTGCTTTTGTGGTAAAACCTGACCAGGCCATCTGTATTGCATAGTGCCATTTTCCTGTGTGCAGCCCTGAGTTCCGTGCTCAATTTGATAGAGATACAGAAGTCAAGGCAGCAAAACCCTAACGAATATTAGGTAGTATTGGTCCAGTTTGTTCATTGACTGTTTTCATGTCTTGGTTTCTTTTCACCAGCTCCACTATTTGTAGTGTGTTAGTTTGTACTTTTTGCATGTTGAAACACATAACATAAAATTATGAATGCTTCCATTGGTAAAATATTGTTCAAGAGTTTCAGATTCGGGGCTACAATCTCTGGTTGTGCACTCACTTTAACATTGGGGCTCAGGGTGTTCAGCTTTGTGGTAGAAGTGTTTGGTGAGCGCTTTTGAATCCAGACACATGGTCTGACTGCTGGCTCTCCCTTGCAGCCCGCTTCCTTCTCTTGCCTCCCTCTCTCCTTGTGCTGTGTTCCTGATCCTCCATTGCTGGTCTCCTCTCTGTATCCATGCCCTTTGCTGTGTCACTGTTCCTAGGTCTACGGTACCCTTACCCTTGTATGTGATCATGTTGACTGCAGCCAGACTGGATACTTTGGGTAATGATTTCTTTCCCTGTCTGTAACACAACATACCCCTCCTCTTGGTAGAGAACCCATGTTGGCAGGATGTAGAGACCCAGGGCTGGTAGTTTCATGTCTTCTTTTGGCAATAGGTATTTGTGGTGGATAGCTTCTGTGGTCAACTTGACATAACCTAAAATTATCTGGGAAGAATTATCTAGAACAAATTAATCTATGGGTTTGTCTAACAGGGATAGTTTTGGTTTTTAATTGATGAGGGACCATCTAGCCCACTGTGGGTAACACCATTACTTGGGGCAGGAGTTCCTTAACTAAATGACAGAAGCAAGCAAGCATGTATACAAGTGAGTAATCAGGCCTGTGTGCCTTTTTTTTTTTTTTTTGTTTTGTTTTGTTTTGTTTTGTTGCTGCTTTTGACTGTGGATGTGATATGACTAGCTGTTTATAGCTACTGTCACTGTGACTTCTCTGCTATCATGGACTGTAACCTGGAATAGTGAGCCAAGTGAACCCTCTCTCCTGTTGCTTTTTGTCAGGGTATTTTATTACAGCAACAGGAATGACACTAGGAAAGTATCTGTCCCCATCCAGAGCACAGTGAGGTTGTCCTGGGCACAGACCTTGGTATGGATGAGCCTTGAGGAAATTCTTGTGCCTTTGAGGCTTTCTCATGAAGCTTAGGATAGGTAGGTGGGCACAGGGATGTGATCATTCATTAATTGATAGCAAGCTGGACAGAGGCTGTTTCCCACATGTGTATTTGGCCTCAGCTCTTGCCTTGCTTCTTTGCTATGTTGCTGCAAAACCTTGCTTAGCCTAAGCTAAGCACTGGGACAGGACTCTGGAGACTTAGCAAAGGCATCAAACAAGATAATCTGGAAGAGCTACATTTACCTGGTGAGATGTGACCCATGATACAGAGAGGGTTCTCCAGGGAACTAGGAAAGCCACCCAGGTGGTATGAGTGGATGGTCTGATGAGTTCAGCTTGACTGTCCTGGATGTGGCTCTTTGAGTGAAAAATCAAGAAACTAGATGTTTCTTCATAATGAGTTGATGGTGGTAAACAGTGAGTCTTGGAAATATGTGCATGTGATGGTAGGTGATTGTGAGACGCTGCTGTGTGTCTCCTGCCAAGAGAAGACCTGATCTTTGTTAGTTCTTTTCTCGGCAGCTGTTAGCAAGTGCTCTGGTTATCTGGGATGTGCTTACCTGCATCTCTGGGCACACGCGTTGGTTCTTAGATCAATAGTCCCATTGGTTCAGTGGACTAATAGCGTGTGATAGTTTTCTCCATGTATTCTTGGGATCTGCCATAATAAGCATGGGATGGGAGTGCTGCCCTTTTCTCCCTACAGCCTTTTATGCTTTCTGGGTGTTACTTTTGTTGCTGTTGTGACAAAATCCTTTATGGTGCCATAAGTAAGGAAGGGTTTATTTTCACTGGGAGTTTAAGGATACAGTATGCTACTGTGCAGAAATATCAAGGCATTAGTATTGGAGGCAGCTGATAACATATTTCCATAGTCAGAAAGCAAGAAGGCAAAGAGGAAGTAGGTACATGCTATAAAACCTCAAGGCCCACTCCCAGTTACCACTTACTGATGGTGGATATCCTTCTGTATATGTGTTTCTCTTTTGGTTGATGAATAAAACACTGTTTGGCCAATAGAGGCAGGAAGATAGGTGAGTTTAGGAGACGAGGAGAGTTCTGGGAAAGGTAGGCCATGAGAGATGCTATATAGAGACCTGGAAGACAGGATGAGCCAGGCATTCTCCATAAGACCACATGGAAATACTTAGATTAATAAGAATGGGTTAATAATTAAGAAAGAGCTAGCCAATAAGAAAGCCTAGCTATTGCCCAACAGTTTAATAATTAATATAGCATCTCTGTGTTTATTTGGGGCTGAAGTAGCTGTGAGACCTGGTGAGACAGTAACCTCCAGTAACAACTTACTTAAGCAAAGCTCCATTTCTTGAGAGATTCACAACCTTCCATGATAGTGCTACCAGCTGGGGACCAAGTATCACGTATGTGGGCCTGTGGAAAACTCATGTTTATACCACAGAATTGACGGTGGTTGTGTGAAATGAACCTTACCTGCAGTTTCAGTAAGGGAAGCTCATCACTAGGAAAGCACCATCATGCTCCTTTAGCCAAGTGTGGGGTTGGAAAAGGACACAGCAGAGTACCTGTCCCGTTGCCTCTAGGGTTTTCTAGCTATGCTTGACATGGCCAAAGTCACAGAGTGGTTAAGAAGGTGGAAAGTTGCTCTGAGTAAAGCCCTGAATGCTGCCAGGGCTAGCCTCTCTTTTAATGTGGAGATCATGCCAAGCCTTTCCAAGGATGTTATGAGCCTGGACCAACTCCATTGAAGACAAGTTAATGAAATGATGGGAACCAAGGTGGTGAGATGGAGTTGGCTTTGAGATGTCTGTTCATTTTTGTCCATGTGCTTCTGTTTCAACTGTCCAGCAGGTAACTGAGTGTCAGCTTCGAGTATCCCACTGACTCAGACACCAGCTCTTGGTGACTGGTACCACTTTGTAATTATGTTGTTATTGAACTGTGTCTGAGTTGTTTTTCCCATTGCTATGAAAAAAAAAATACCTGATAAGGAAGCAACAGCAATGTAAGGAAGTTTATTTCAGTTTACAGTTTGGGAATATTGTCCATCTACTATGGATGGCATGCGAATGACGCAGGGAAGGCAAGGCAGCAGGTCTGCGGGGCATCTGCTCACCTTATATTCTTAGCTAGACAACAGTGAGAGATGGATGCTGGTACTCAGGTCACTTTCTTCCTTTTAATGAGTCTAGGACCCCAGCCCATGGGATGGCCAGTTTCCCTACCTAAATTTACCTAATCTAGCAATCCCTCATAGGCATGCCCAGAAGCTGACTGAATTTAGTTCATCTCTTACAGCTGTGCCTGGAGCCTTGTCTCTTAAGTGACTCTAGATCTGTCAAATTGACAGTCAGTATTAACAATCACTGGGTGTTATGTTGCCATGATTAGGCTAGCAGCTTGCCCTGAGTGCAGTTTAAAATAAAGTTAAATGAGCAAAATGGATATGTAAGTGGTTCCTTATCACACTTGCCCCTCCTTAGATGCAGCGTATCTCCTTCATATAGGACTTTGTGTGGGACAACAGATCTCCAGGGTGACCTCTGGGGAACTGGCAAAGGAAACTATTCAGTGGAATTGTGCTATTTGAGTTCCTTACCCACTGGGGCCAGCATGTTCAGATGACTTAATCTGTCTGTCAAGCATTGCAGAATAGCAGACTTACATATGAAAAGAGTATACCATATGGTTCATGCCAGAGCACCGTCTGTACTTCCTTTTATTTATTTATTTTTTTATTTTCTATAGTGGTGACACTTCAGCCAAAACAACCCTTTCTGTTCCTTCCTTTCCCTAGTGATGGACGTAACAGACATAATAAATGGAAAAGTAGATGATGAAGATAAACAGCACTTCATTCCTTTCCAGCCGTAAGTATGAAATCATTCCATCCTTAACCAGATACCACATGAAAATCCCATAGTCAATAATGCACCGCTAGGGTTGTTCGTTAAGCCCGAGTCAGGATTCATTTATTTTATAATAGTAAGAAATCTGTTTAGTCATTGCTGTGGCACATGGAATCGGGACTGTGAGGGCGATGGAATAAGGTTTGTGTATGATCCCTAGAGCTGATGTTCCTTGTAGTCCCAGAATTACCTTATCAGTAGAAGAATTACAGTTCTTCACTGAGCATGTTTCTTTACATAATCTATTTATTCTTGTAGCAATTCACATTTTCAAAACACAATACTTTCAAATTCATCACAAGAGGTTGCTGCTTTTTAAAATAGAAACTAAACAAAGTAATGATGAATTCTTTTGCAAAGCGAGAAATAACACCTTGAAGCCTGTAATCGGTCTGCTGATGTGTCTGTCTTGGGATTTTGCTCAGCTGAGTGGGTTTGGACTTTTCCTTTTTTAAGGCTTTGTCCACTTCTGACCTGAGGGCCAGGGAACATGGAGAAAGCACTTGGGGCTGATTTATGGGATTATCCTTTGATTTGGAGCTAAACCCTGTGGCTGGGGTGATTGGAGTGAGGGTGGGTTTTGATGGGGGCCACTCCTCGGGAGGAAGAACTGGGTGCTTCAGGTTGATTGTGGAGACAACCTCCTCAGTACCAGACTTCCCAGGAGGATAAGTGCATGGGGTTAGTGTGACCTGCCCTGGGACTGTGCAGTTTCCTGTTTACTCTTTTCTTTTCCAGTTTGCTTTTATTCAAAAACTTTTAGGCTTAGGGTGAATTTCACTTTTGCAGGTTTACATTGCTTTGGAGCTCAGCCAAGGGAGGCTGAGCTCTGGGGGAGGCTGATGATAATGGGTGTCTGAAGGAGCCTTGTCCTTGGGAGGACAAGAGAAATGGTATAGTCTTCTCTTGCCCCATGGACTCTTCATGATGGACCGTCCCCCACTCCCTGCAGACTTGACGATCAATTGTTTAAGATGGGTGCCGTGTGGCTTTTCTGTGCCTTTAAAAAAAAAAAAAAAAAAAGAATACTTTTTGTTGTGCAGCTCTGTAGATTTTGCCTCTTGTTGCAAAGAGAGTTGCATTAAAATCAGTATTGTATAGCCTAAAGTTGGGCTCAAGTACCACGTGTTTTACCACACACAATTAGAGGCAGAGGTCCCTGGTGGCTTCAATGCTTTCCATTTGCTTCCTGTCTGGTCTGCTAACCACTAGCCCCATGTGGCTCTTTATATTAATTACAGCTGAGTAGAATTAAAATGTCGTCCTTCAATCACATCGGTCTATTTTAAGTGTTTATTGCCTTGTAGGGCTATTGTTGCCATATTGGATAGTGTCTTGGTTTCTTTTCTTGTGGCTGTGATAAAATACCCTAACAGGAACAACTTAATGAGAAAGGGTTCTCTTAACTCATGATTCAAGGTTGGAGTCCATCATTGGAATGTATGCTTATGTTCAGGTCATCTTCTCTATTTTATACAGTCCAGCCAGGGGATGGTGCCACCCATAATGGGTGGATCTCTTACCTCAGTTAAAGTTGTCAAGATGACCTCCCCCCATGCATGCCCATCTCTTAAGTGATTCTACAATCCTACTACTCTCTAGTGATTCTACAGTCTGTCAGGCTGACAGTAAATATTAACCATCACAGATGGTGTGTCAGTGCTCATTTCCATCTCTGTAGAGAGTTATAATAGATAATCCCACTCACTAAGGAACCTAGAAGCTTCCTTAGCACACGGGATATCCCCATTCTGGAATATGACTGATATAGTCGTTACAAACAAAACACACCTTTGTGAGGTTAGAACACTCAAGTTATTCATTTATTTATTTTTTTTTTTTTCCTGTGAAAATTGACAGGGTTCCCCACTGTTCGTAAGACTTCAATTTCATCAAAACCACAGGATTTAGTAATACACAGTGGTCCTCCTAAGTGATTTTCTTTGTCGCTCATTTCTTCCCTCAGAAGGTAAACACAACAAAACAACAAAGCATCAAAAAGCAAACCCCAAACAAAACACTAGCTTTGGGTATTGTTGGAAAAGGTTTTCACCTGGTCTTTGACATCACCTGCCCATTGCTACGACTCTTTTCTATCTGGTAGTGGAGTCCACTTTCAGCAGTGTTAGGGCACACTCACCTGTTGTGTTCGTTTGAATGTTCCTTCTCTAGAGGACCATGGCTACACAGATTAATATCTGCAGTGATAGAAGAAAAAAGTGGCACGATTCTGATAGCAAAATCAGCCTGGAAACTATTCTTTGGGAAATGGCATGCTAATGAGAAGGTTTTTTGCTCCATTAAAATGGATTTATCACCTCCCGGGGTTGGTTTTAGGGAGGGAAATAGTGTGTATTCTCTTTCTCTCTCTCGTTCATCTCTTTTTAACTTGGTGAAATAAATTACAACGGCTTTCATCTCCTTTGAGTTGCTTGGCCCAAGTGATGGATGGCATAGTCCTTGTTCCTAGAATTGATTTTAGGCTTTCTGTACCTGATGTATGTTTCTGCACCCTTTCCCCATTGTGCTTGGTGGCACTGCACAGTATTTCTCATGGTGCATGTTGCCTGTGCTGGCCAGTCTCACATGCATGGGCTTATCAGCCTAAGAACACTGGTAGCCTGTATTTTAAGTGATGTTCAGGGTTCAGCATCCAGATATGGTGACCATTAATTCTGTTCTCCAGGGACTGGGTCACCTTCACATGTAGCTATTAGAGACCCTTTTGTGAACACACATTGTGGAATCAAAGGCAGGGCTCCTTATGCCATTAGGTTTGAAGGCTATTTGGGGTGAAGAAATGGGGTTTTGTTTTCATTTTTTTCTTCATACTACCTGTCCCTTTCCCTAGACTAGTTCAGTACTATCCTGGTGGCAGAAATGGCCATCAGTGTTCTCTGGAATGCAAGGCCTCTTAGCCACTTTACTCTCAGACCTGCCCCTTTGGACTGCCCATTAGCAATGGGGTGAAGCCCTGTGCAGTGTTCCCTGGGAGCGGGGTGCCCTCCTTGGCTGGACTTCTGTCCTGTGGTTCACCATTTTCCTGATCGATGCTTTCCCTGTCTCTCTTGTCACCTATCCTGCCCTTTGTCTTTCGTTGACTCATGACGACTCTCTCATACTCGGTGGTGATGCTCTTTTGTGTCCCCCTGTTACTGTGACCCATGGGTCTCTGTGCCCCTTTGTCTCCTGTGGTCTTGGTTGCCCCATGCCCTCCAGGCTCGCGTTGGACGACGCCATTCGACACAAGCCGCTGAACATGTCATCCCGTTTCTCACCCAGGGTGGCAGGGGAGAATGACTTCCTTCAAACTGTCATAAACAAAGTCATTGCAGCCAAAGAAGTCAACCACAAGGGGCAAGGTATGTATCTCTGTTGTTTCTGCTGTGGGCATGTAGGGAATCTGGGGTGGGGCTTTCTTGATGGAACTTTGGGGACTGGGTGATGCTTGTTTCTACTGGATGGGCAGCCTGTGCAGGCTGTCTCACCAATAGCCTGCATAGGTTCCTGGTAGCCAGCCTCCCAGATGAGTGCAGAAGAGGATGGGGAGTGGGATGTGGCTGGGGCTATCTATGAAGAAGCTAGTAGCTCCTTTCTTTGACTCCTCCTCTTTCCCTTTCTCTTCTTCCCTTAACAAAGCACTAGGAGGCTGAGGTTGTAGCTCATTTGGGAGAGTGCCTGCTTGGAATGCACAAAGTCCTGAGTTCTATCTCCAGCACCATGTAAAATAGGCTTTTGATGGCATGTACTTGTAACCCTAGTAGTTGACAGGCTAAGGAGATCAGAACTTCAAGGGCATCTTAGGTTACGTGAGACCCCATGTTGGTAAATGAAAACTAAGTCAACAATGAAAACTAAAACCAAATGCAAATTCCACAGTAACAAGAACAAAAATCCATCAATGCAACACCTGCCTAAAAGCTGTGACCTCACCTCCTTGATGTCCCTCTTCTCTGACATGGGCTTTTGTCTCCATATCCTGTCATAGTACTGCCAATGTTCTGTAATTGCCCCTCGGTCCCTGCCATGGAAGTGACTACTGTTTTATTCATCCAAGTAGCCGTCCCACTCCTTCCTTCCCCCTCTCTGATCCCCATCCTGCTTGCATCGTTTTTAATACCACACTGACATGTCCCAGCAGCTGGCCTTCTGCTGGCAGAGCTAATGAATCAATCCATTTGGGCTGGTGACAGTTGGCATTGGGCTGGCCAAGAGACCTGCCAAAAACCAACTGCTTATCAAGCCCCACAACCTACACGGAGGAAAGTAAGTCACTTTTAGAAATTGGGGACCCTAACCTGCTTTTAACATTTGGAAAAACACATGCATCTGGTTGGTCCTTGATCTAGTGCACCAGGCAGTGTACTCAGACGAGGTCAACTGAACAGCTGCCCACTCTACCTCCATCCTTCCAAATCAACCCCTTTCATTGTCCCAAGCAGTGTCCAGGGAGTCTGAAGAATGTTCTGGAAAAGGGATGTCTTACACATCTCTGCAGTGAGCCTTGGCTTTACTCTATTCTCTGGCCAACCTCACCTAGAATGTTCATGGATTATAGCCTTTGCACATGGAACACCTTTTAACTGAATCAGACCCCACCCCTTGTAGATTACAGCTTTTCCAGCTTGTCCTGTATTTGCAAACCATAGGGAGTCTGAGATAGGAGTTAATACAGGGTCTGGCTGCTCCTTTATTCCTGGTTCAGCAGCCCTCATCCCCACTGATCTCCAGGTTTTTTTTGTTTGTTTTTGTTTTGTTTTGTTTTTGTAACATTCTCACAGAGTTATGTTTATCACAGAATCACATAAGTGGTGTTAGGTTGACATCAAAACAGCCAGGCTCATGGGTCACAGCCAGTATCCATGACCTGGGTGGGCGGGCAGCAGTGGCATGGACGCTGGCTGGTACCTAGATAGGGCTATTAACACCTGGTACCTTGGACTACTAGAGAGGGGAGAGAGGTCTCAGACCACAGTGAGAATGAGAGACAAGAATGTCCGCAGCATTTTTTTTTAAAGGGGGCTACATGTTTCTTGCAGAATCAGCATACTGAGTCAACACTGTTGTTGATCTGACAGTGTCACCAAGTTAATTTCATATTGACTTTGAACCATCCTCAGTGCTCACACTTAGAATCTAGATCATTCCTAGGAGAGTCAAGGGGGACTTGGCCAGGGCAATTGCTGTTGGGTGTTCTGGGATCCTCCCATAGGCTCCTGTTTCCATTAGAATGACCCAAGTACCTTCTGATGCCTGCTTCTCTTCCCAGTCACAGTCAGAGGACCCAGAATGGAGGGCAAGGAGGGCATGATAATCTTTACAAAAGCCAATGGATTTTTCCATGCTCACCTCCTACTTGCCTCCTCTGAGCCTGGTCCATCCCTGTAGCATCCTCTTTCATCTTCACAAAAGCAGAGTCTCATGAACATCTTGCAGCGCTGTTGATTGAACCCAAGGTCTTCTGCATGCACAGTAATCACCCTCTAATTTGTTTCTGTTTAACCCACACAATTCTGCTTCCTGCCTATGAGTTCTCATGTGTGTATATGGACAGCAGAGCCTCATACCCGCACCTGCTCCCCTTGTTTGAGAAGGGATGAGTAACCATTCTGCGTTCAATCATTCTGGTGAAACACATATCAACTCCAAACATAACTTATTCTTTGAAAACAGGCCTCATTTTCCCCTGTGGGGAAGGAAGGCGCTTTGAATGCTGTATAATCAGGACAATTAATCTCTATATTTCAACTGTAACAAATTGAATTGTGTCACCAATATTTACTTTATCCACCTAGATAATCAGGCTGTTGGTTAGTGTATTTGAAAGGCAGCCTTTCTGGTGTTATTTAATGTGACTAGGCTTAGTTTGCTTGACTGTGTGGCAGAATAAAGGGAAAGGGGGACAAGATCAAGCACATAGCCCCTTGAGGGACTGTTTAACCCTCTGTATGCCCAGAGCTATCCGTAGGCTGTTTGCACTTTAGTGTGAATTAGGAAAAAGAAACCCCATAGTCTGGTGTGTGTGTGTGTGTGTGTGTGTGTGTGTGTGTGTGTGGAGATGCAGCCAGTTCCTGGGAGCATGGGTTAGGGGATACGATCCAGGCCCTTCTCATTTGTTGGTGAATACATGCAGTGCATATCTTGAGACACAGCAGATGTACCCTTTCCTTGGTGCCATCCTCTGATGTGATACATGGGAACTTTTTTTGTAGTGGGCATCCCTCTCTTGAGACTGTCTGATGATCTGGAATTCGGTATCTTAGAGAGGAAGGCAAAGGAAATTTGTAGGAACGGTGCCACCTTAGTCTCTGTTGACTATGTCTGTTGCTCTGTCCCGTTTAGTTTTTGTTTCTTGCCAGTTTCTGCTCTCCCTTCCACCTGGAGGGCCAAGGGGACATGCTTGCTGCTCAGTGCCACCCATACTCACTTCCCTCTTTGGTCTTACACTTTGACCATGCGCATGAGACCTTTCCTGGTGTCTCATTCTCTGCAACTCCTTCTCAGCATGACCTGCAAGTAGAGAGAACTTTCCACGCATGTTTTGTGCTCCTCAGACTATCTTCCGGAGCAGGTGGTGTGGAGCTCCTTCTAAGAGTTGTGCCCACAGCAGGCACTGCCCCTGAGAGCCATCTGCCTTCCCCTTCCTCCTCCCTGGCTCTGTGGTTTTGACCCCCATGTTGGTCTTTCCAACCCCCTTCCTATTATTAGGCTCAGATATTAGCCTCCTGTAGCCTCTTCTGGCTCATGATTTTCCCTTTAACTTCCTCCTGCAGCTGATAGATTATTTTCACATCAGACCCCTGGCTCACTACTGAGCCCTGTGGACTTCCTCAGGCCACCACGGTCCCCGCTGGCCTCTTTGTGGGCACACACCTCTAAGTCTCTGCCTGCCCTTCTAAGCCTCTGCTGTAAATGCCACCTTCTGATTTCTCCTAAAATGAGTTTAAAAGAACTTTTCTTTTTCTTGGCATACATACCATGGTCTTACTCCTTGATCTCACAGGCAAGGCTGGACTGAGTGTGTGCCCCTGTGCTGGGTGGCTCTTACCTAGACATTTGCATGAATATTTGCCTGTCTGTAATGCTGCTCTATAGATTAAAAGTTTCTTAACTATTGCCATTGTTTGCAGCCACCCACTTGTGGTAAACGTGACTTAGGCAGCCTTTGTTTTTTCAGGTTTGTGGGTAACCTTGAAATTGCTTCCTGGAGACATACATCAGATTCGGAAGGAATTTCCTCACTTGGTGGACAGGACCACAGCTGTGGCCCGCAAGACCGGGTTTCCAGAGATTATCATGCCAGGTAAGGTTAGCCTCACTCAGGGATTTTGTGGTTCTCTAGGAGGCCACGGCCATGAAGACTGGAGTGAGCATAGCACAGTGTTGTACAGGAGCTCTTGTGAGAGGAAGTTGAGCATGAGGCCAGTACTCTGTGTCAGGCCCAGGGTTGTTATGAGTAACCTCAGTGCTCAAGGGCTGAGACCAACACGGTGGTGGAATATGCACTTTGGGCCCTGGGCTCGCTATAGGATTAGCTTCCCTCTAATGGCAAAGTCACATGTGGGGAGGCATGGATACCCTCCAAGCATGAAATTAGGTGTCTGATCAAAGGCAGGGAGGGAGGGAGAGAGGGAGAGAGGGAGAGAAGGAGGAAAGAAGGAAGAAAAAAGAGAAAGAAAGAAAAGGAGGGAGGGAGAAAGGAAGGAAGGAAGGAAGGAAGGAAGGAAGGAAGGAAGGAAGGAAGGGCGGGTCATATACCTATGTTAAAGGCAGGTCAGAAGGATGAGGCTTTCCTGGGAACCTGCTTAAGGTGTGTTCATTACCACACTGATGGAGCTCAGGCCCAGCCATGTATTTTAAACTACACGAACTGATACTTGAGCTATTTTTTTTAAAACATTTGTATTTTATATTTAACCACACTTTCTAGCTTACAAATAAAATCTATATTAATAATCTGATATTAATTATTGATATCTACCCTTGGGACAAATGTTCATATTTATCTTGATGTACAATTTGGTTTGCAACTAATGTTCATTTGAATAGTCTTGGCTGGCTCACAGAAGGATCTTGGACACTTGAAGATTGTTGTTGAACTAATTCCAGTAAAAATAAACTACTGCCCAAAGTCACATGGGCAAATAGGCAGTGGAAATGGTGATTTCCAAGATCAACAGGCACATGTGGCCTTCTGTCACAGGTCCCTATGGCTGCAAACTTTGCTGAGATGTGTTTGGGTGCCCAGTGTGCTGGCTGCAATAGGCATTGCTGTTCTTATTGCATGCAACCATGGGATCTATGCTTTCCATCCTATTCACATTTCAGGATTGGTATGACACATAACTGAAGTGGGCTAGCCTGGCTAACATTGTTGCTCCCTGTATAGGTATGGTATGTCAGTCTTATTCATGGAAATGAGATGATTTGTGGACTTACATTTGGAACTGAGATGCACCTTCGAGGGTGCATTTGTTTGATCTGTTAGGATAGCCTCACTGTTACAAGTGTCTCGCTCACCCCCCCCCCCCCAGCCCCAACCTTCTCTTGCTGTGATAAAATACTCTAACAAAAGCAATTTAAAGGAGAAAGACTTTCTTTCACAGTCTAGTTCATCATGGTGGGAAAGTCCAGAGAGCAGGAGGATGAAGCAGCTGATCACGTTAATCTGCAGTCACAAGACAGCAATGAATGCAAGCAAATTCAGGAAACCCTGTTAGGGGGTGGGGCCATCCACAATTAATATAGATACGCCCACATCAGCTTACATAAGCAAGATAGCCTCCCACAGGCATGGCCAGATCCCATCCTCCAGGTAACTCTAAAGCCTGTCAAGATGACCCTGAAATCTAACCATCCCAACTGGGAAAACTGGGGATGTCCTGCTCATGCTGATGGGGTTTTCCTTGTAATACATAATCTTAGAAAAGCTTGCAAAGTTAAATCCATTTGTTCAGTTAAGCCCATGATTGTCTTTTGGAGAACCCATGCTGCTAACCATTGTTCTGGTCAAGAACAAAATTCCACAGGCTGAGTGGCTGCTAGAGAGGGATTCTAACTGGAGCAACTCACCCTTGTTCTCTGTTGGCTGAGTAAGTACTGGCCAGGAGAGGTGCCAAGTCCACCATGCTGCTGGTTTTCTGTCAGACTCCCATATTTAGCCCAGTAGAACCTCTGCTTATCCTTTTCATCTGCCCTGTGAAGGCATTTGCCTTTGTACAATAGGAGAGCCTATGCTGCCACACTCCCGCTGACCCTTAGACATGCTCATGACCTATGCTACCCTAAATCTGTTTTGAAGGACTTAGGCAGGGGAGGAAACCAAGGAATCCATGGAACTGGGAAGATGGTAGCATCCAAATCAAATCCTTGAACAATTAACTTCCTCCTTTAGTGAGCCCAACCTTTGCTGAAGGTCTGTGTGGTGCCCGTCCTTGGGGCTTCTCCACTGCAAATAGTGTCCTTTTTTCTGTGATGGCTCAGAAACAATCTCTGCAGGAATGGTGACCGTAGGCGTGAGGCTGTGGGGCATCATCCCCTTGAGGCCTTGTAGTCCATGTCACTTCTCTGCCTGTAAGGTTTTTATGAAGCTTCTACAGCTCTCAGGTAAAAGATTATGGTTTATAGATGCTAGGAAGATAGCTGAACCAGTAAACTGCTTGTGAGGACCTGAGTTTTATATTCTCAGAACCCACCTAAAAAGTGCTGGGCATGGTGGCCTGTGCTTGCATCCCCAGTGGATTGGAGAGAGGCAGATCCCTGGGGTTTATTGGCTAGCCGGGCTAGTTAAATTGGCGAGTTCTAGGCCAATGAGAGATTTTGTCCTAAAACACAGGTAAATGGTTCCTTGGGAACAACAATTGAGGTTGTCCTCTGGCCTCCATTTGCATGTGCGTAAACTGCACATACAACTGTATACATGTAACATACACATAAATATTATTGTTTTTAAGTTTTGATAGAATTTTCAGGCAAAAAAATGTACAGTTGATGTGTGGCAAATTAATAAGTCTGTTAAGTGGTGAGTTAGCTCAGGAGATGAAGGGGCTTAACTGAGGTTCCACAGCTAATAGTGGTAAGTCTTGGGTGGGAAGCCTAGTTTCCCATCCTCCCACCCCTACCCCCAACCTCAATTTTCAGTCTTTTTTAACTTCTCTTGTGGGCAGTATCAGCCATAGCAGCTCTGTTTCCCTCCTGAGCAGCCTTCTTGACTGTGGGAGCGACCCACTGGGACCATTACAATAATGACTTTTAAATGCAACTTTAATTTAATAGTTTGATACATTAAAAGCCAAAATAGAGCAATTTTTCCTTTTAGAAAAAATAGCACAATAAAAAAACAACAACAAGAAGAAAGAAAGCAAAGGCTTTTTTGCCTTAAGAAGTCTCCATCCTTAACAACCACAGGGGACCGTCCACACTCTGTTCAACTGTGCAGCGCAGGGTTGGGAATGGGTGGGGTGGGCAGCCTGGAAACTAATCATCAGTAATGATGCCTCCTCTCCATCATGGTGCTAAGGAGGCTTTCAGTTTTTCCAGTTCACACATTTTCAACAGAACAAAGTCTCAGCTCATTTGTTCTAGGCTGCTCTCATCACAATTAAGGGGCCACTTTACCCTAAAATGTATGGAGTTGTATGTGGTGGCCAGCCTTGTAATCCCAGCACTTGGGAGATTGCTGTAAATTGGAGACATTCCTGGGCTACAAGAGAGATCCTAAACAAAACAAAACAAAAACCTAAAACCAAACAACCCCCTCTCCCCCAATTCTATTTAATTCTGTTTTATTCTTCCCACTTGGGGTCCTGACAGCTGCTAGAAGAGAAGAACCACACAGAAACTTCTCTGTGACCTGCCCCTTGTACCTGGTTTATGGTTCTCATTCTCAATAGATTTTTAGTTCAAATCTTGATAGCAGCCAGTTCAAAGAAAGCAAAGAAAGCTGGCCTTGCCCATTCTCTTTTGCATGTGTGAGCAGGCTGCTGAGGACACAGGTGATTTCAGTTAGTGACATCCCATGAGTGGCTCAGAAGGTCTCTATTGATCATAGGATGCTACAGAGGGGCTGGGTCCTTGTCGCTCCATCAGTGGCATGAGGCCACTCTGAGCACTTTGAAGAGGTGCAGAAGTGAAGTTTTTTTTTGGTTTCACCATGCCTTACAAGCCCAGGCTGTTGTGTAGGAAATATTTCAGAACTATTTAATACAGTATTTATAATATTCCATTGAGGCTGTGCTTTCAACAGTTTGGCTAAATTCATGGTTACACTATAAATGATGGATTGCTATTAAGAATAAAATTTCCCCCCTCCCAGGTGATGTTCGAAATGATATCTATGTGACATTAGTTCAAGGGGACTTTGATAAAGGCAGTAAAACGACTGCAAAGAATGTGGAGGTGACAGTGTCTGTCTACGATGAAGATGGGAAGCGATTGGAGGTACCTCTTTTTTGCTCTGTCTCATCCTTACAGTTCAAGTTCAGCTTTCACATGTCTGTCCTCCTTGGCTCTGCTGCAGGATCTGAGGTGTTCTTGATTGTCTGTGTTAGCTCATCTGTTGGAATGCATGTTCTTACTAGCCTCCTTTTTTTGCTTGCCATTGTATCTTGAGGATCCAGGCTACTACCCTGTCTCAGGGCATCCTGTAGATTTTGACCACACTCCTTGCTCAGTCCTATAAAAGGGTTCTTATTTCTTGGCATAATCCCACATGCCTAGCAACCACAGTGGTAGGTCAGAGACCATTGCTTTCAATATTTAAGAGACAATGGAATGGAATCTGAGAAATAATGCTATTTGCTCAGGTTCAGAGAGTGAGGTAGGCTTTTAGGATCATGTGACTCACATGGCCGAGGTTACCAGAACCTCTTCCCATGGCCAGCAGAATCTACCAGAGTGGGTCAAAGCTTGTACTTCCCTCTGATTAGTAGAGCAGGTATCCTTCTAGGTATCCTTCAGGACAGCCCTGGCCGGGCTTATGCCTGGGCTCAGCTGTGTTCAGCAGGCTCACATCTTTTCTTCTGTCTGACCTTGTCTGGTGTCATTCATATCTCTAGAAACCTTGAGCTATATGCCTTGGCCTCATAAGTTTGGCAAGCAATGTTCATGGCTAGAGGGATGAGTCTTGCCAATTCCTGCTTGGTGGATAATCTTTGCTTCTAGATAAACTGAGTTAAACAAGCAAATGTTCTCAGATTGTAATTGGGGAGGGGGCAGGAGAAGTGGTAGTCAGGGTTAGTCCCAAGTGTTATAATTGTCTGTACCTCCAGGGTCTGAGGCTATGGTTTAGATTAGACACTAGCACAGGCAGACCTGCCCCTTCATTGCTGGGAATGCATGCCAAATGCAGTGGTTTAATGCACCCTGGATTACTTCTTCTCCTCCTTGGTGGGTGCAACAGGAATATGTAGGGGAGATACTGTGATATCTAATGTCAACATTTAAAAACTAAATATATGTATATATGTATATATATTCATATACTATACACACATATTATATGTTTATTTCATGTGAGTGCATACATGCATACCTATGAGTGTGTGTGTGTGTGTGTGTGTGTGTGTGTGTGTGTGTGTTTGTAAGCTCATACATACAGGAGTTATTTCTCTCCTTCCACCATGTAGGTCCTGGGGATTGAACTCAGGTTGTTAGGCTTAGCAGCAACTGCCTTTACCCATTGAGCCACATCAGCTGCCCTAACAAGAACTATTTTTTTTTTTTTTTTTTTTTTTTTTTTTTGTGCCTTCTCCTAAAGCATGTGATTTTCCCTGGTGCTGGTGATGAGGCGATCTCAGAGTACAAATCAGTGATTTATTACCAAGTGAAGCAGCCTCGATGGTTTGAGACCCTTAAGGTATTGTGTTTCTATGGTCATTTCATCCCCTCTCCCCCTGGGGGTGGGGGTTGGGCTGATTGTGAAATCCTCACTCACATTACACAAAGCCAAGTTGTTCAAAGTTGTTAAAGACCTTCCTTGGTAGTTACTTTAATAAATTTATCATTATTTCCTTCGAATGTAAAAACAGGGTCTTTGATGGAGATAAATTGTCATATCTTTCTGATAGCTATTGTCTCTCTGTCCTTGGGTTTGGAGTATATGTGGCCTGTTGCCTTTGTACCAAATAGGCAGAAGCAGGGATGCCAGCATGTGTCCTTGTTTGTTGAGAGGTGGATCTGCTTCTGTGGCGTTGACAGAGTCCTTTCATCATGCAGCCTGCTCACAGCACCATGGTACCCCAATGTAGTCTATCCTCCCCCTCCCAAGAACCTGAATTGCAGAAGATGAGGGATGGGCTCATTTGGGGCAGTCTCTGCTTACAGGCGGTACACAGGAGGTCTTGTTCTTTGGCCATAATGTACTTCCTGCTGCAAGTGCAGAAGGGATATAGACACCTTTATGTGGGGGGCTACAATGAAGACAGTGGCTTTCAAAAATAGAATCTGAGCAGTGTGCATCTGAGTGTTAAAACAAAACATAATCTGGCTGTCTAGCAGAGTTGACTTGGTGTCCTTCACAATATTATCTTGTTTAAATTTTCAAAAGACATTTTGCCTTTGGCGGAAATCATATAAGGATGAGATAGACAGTGTTTTCATTGCTCTGGTGCTGGAATGTTGTTCGGTGCCAGTAGCCAGGCAAATTAAGCACTTCCTGCTAGAGGAGGTTGGGAAAGGTGCTCACATGTCCCCTTTTGATTCTTCAAGGTGGCCATCCCCATTGAGGATGTGAACCGGAGTCACCTTCGATTTACCTTCCGCCATAGATCCTCGCAGGACTGTGAGTAACGGGCCACTCCATCAGTGTTTGTTTTCCAGCAAAAAGCTTAGGGGGGGGGGACACCTGGACTCTCAGGCATTCCTTTCACCTGATCTGGCCCCCTGGAGAACACCACTGAACAGATCTCAGGAGGGTTCCTTTTCCATTTTCTTCTGGGATGGGTGGACTTGTGCACCTGTGCCTTGCTCCTCTTTCTCATGCCTCTCTTCCTTGTTTTTTAAGATTTTACTTTTTACTATATTTCTGTGTGTGTCTGAGTGTGGGTTTGTGGTGTGAGTGCAGTGTCAGTAGAGACAGAGAGGATTTCAGGTACTCTGGAGCTGGAGTTGTACACTGTTGTGAGCCCACCGTGTGGGGTCTGTGGACTGAGCTCAGGTTCTCAGCGGAATCTCTCAACTATGAGCCGTCTTTCCAGCCCCCTTCCTTCTTTGACTTGCCCCATCCCAGCATACTAGGAAAGTCACCGAAACACAGCAGATCATTTGGAAAATTGCCTCTTAGTACTCTTAGAATGGAGAATTTGAACCCTCTTTGTATTTGTTGGTGGCCCTTGGTTGCTGGAGCTTAGCTGGAGCTCTTGTAGTCATTGGTGCATCTTTGACCTTGATACCAAGCCTAGAGGAGGGAACCTGTTTTCACATCTTCCCTTTCCCCCTCCTGAAATAATTGTTCACTGATTACTGAGGCTGGTCCCATCCTATTGGTTGAATTAAGAGCCTGCTAAAGATGTAGCCTCGTGCTGAACACTAAGCTATCACAGAAGGACTATGTAATTACTTCCTGTCCTCATTGCCTGAAAAGTGTGACACTGAGTTGGGTATGAGAAGGGTGCGTTGTGTGATAGTGTGCCTCAGATGACCATGTGGGAACTACAAAGGGGGACAATTAGTTCTAGACTCTGTGGCCTGCTGCAGATTCCTAAGCATGAGTCTGTCTGACCCTAGCTTAGGACAGAAAATGTCAGCCTATAGCCTGTCTTCAGCATAGTGTTGGCTCCCAAGAGGTCCCTGAAGTGCTCATCTGTCTCCATCTGACAGTTTCTGGGGGCTCAGATCCTTGCTGTGGTCAGGTGTGTGTGTGACAGCAGGATGAGGCTATAGAACAGTGGCTGGGAGGCTGAACATTTTCTAAGGCTTATTGTTGGGAGATGTGTGATCTTCTAGATAGGGCCACTGAGAAGCCTGGCCTGCTGTCATTTGGAAGAATTAGGAGGGAGAGGGCATACATTCTGCAGATCTGGAGAACATCAGCCTACAAGGGTGCATACTTAGGATGTGTAAGGTCAGGAAGTAGTTAAATAAAGGCTCTAAAACAGCCAGGGGCCCATAGTGATAGATTATTGTGGGACATGGCAGCCACCTCTCCCAACCTCATCCAAGCAGTGTGAGAACTTCAGGGGTTGAGTTAAAAGGCCATCACTGATTTCTGTAAATGCGAAAAGCAGGTGAGTGAAGACCAGCAATGGTACTTAACCATTGTGTTTGCTGGAGAACTAGGTCATGTTTGGGTCAGCAGGCGGAAGGCCAGGTTCTGTTCAGGTTGCACAGTGCTCTGGATGGCTGAAACTCTGGGATGATGGGCATGGTTACTGCCTGTGAGCTCATATCCTTGAGGCTGACACAGTAGCTTCACTGTGTTGTTTGACTCGGACCTTACCAGAAGCCCTCAGAGTAAGCGTTCCAGGCTTGAATTCTCATGTTGCACGTGAGGAACCCTCAGTAGAGGCTTTTGAGTTAGTGGCCCCAAAAGAGCTCTGGGTCGGATCATACCTCAGTGCTACACTACAGTGCCTGTGGGGAATGGCAAGGCCACTTCCACTTTCTCGTCTTTGTTAGCACCTATCTATTCAACATGGAGGTGAAGGCTCCCCTTTCGTAGTCTATGGGCTTAGTGGCAGCATGGTGTTAGTGTGCAGGGATGGTAGCCAGGACTGAAATGGGAAATGACTGAAGTGGGTGTGGATAGGTGGGGGGCTGGTGAAAAGAAGTTTCTGGGCACAGGTGTGTCCTGCACAGGGTTAGCAGCCCAGGCGTGATCTAGATGTGGGCCAGAGCTTTGCTGATGGGGCAGCAGGAACTTAGGCACTCTTGCAAAGTTGGGAAGGCCATCTGTAGAGTAGGCTTGGCTTCCCAGACACATTATTCCAAGGCTGGTAAGGGGCTGTGGGACCTCCTGGTTCTGTGGAGGAAGCACAGTGTTTAAGAGTGCTAGACTCCATTGAGGACTGTGTCAGAATTACTCTGGAGCCACTCTCTTAACAAAGTCATTCCCCTTAATTAAAGAATTATACCAGGGCACAGGAAGATCTCCAGCATTCTAATTTTTAAAATCCTTGTTTTTCTCGTCAGTTTTAAGTATTCATTATAGACAAGATGCTATCACCTGACATGCCAAGACATATTTGCATAATTAATGAAGTCTCTAAGGCCACAGCTTGTGGGGTTCTGGAGACATGTTAAGCATCATAAATGTGGTACTCATGAGATCTTGTTTGCCAGCTACTGAAGGCAGCCATAGGGGCTGCTACAGCTGTGCCTGAGTATACGCAGTCTGGGTCAGAGTAGGAGAATTCAGTACATGTTGTCCCCCTTTGCTGCCCACTTAGCCACATACAAGCTGCTTTGCACCTTAGAGCTGGGGATGGAGAGGAAGAAGTGACAGGATGTCCTCAGCCATGACCTAGGATGGACCAGAAAGCTTGGTGCTGACACGTGAGGACAGCATGGTGGCCATGTATACATATCGGTTCATGTGTTATAGATGTGTCTTTATGGTCAAGCCAGAAGCTGGGTCCTCCTGATTGGAGCAGGCTTTTCTGGGTAGGGTAACCTTGGCTACTCTTTAAGAACATGTGAGTTCCTGCTATTTAGTTCACAGGACTCTGAGTTTGAGGATAATCCATCTACTTTTGAAATGGCTCTTAGAGAGCATGTAATGGACAGTGACCCTTCTTTAAGTGTTGAAGATGCAGTGTTAATGAATGATGCCCCCTTTTAGTGCTACTCAGTAGTAGGCTTAGTAGAAGCTGTCTGCTGATAAGTGTTAATGAATGCATGTCTAGTGTTTACTGCTCCCCTGGGGACTCAAGCTTAGCAGGAGCCAGTTCTTATCATCATCGTCTCTCACATGTTCTGCTGCTCCTCCACAAAGTTGTGTTTTAGAGTAGTAAGGCACGGATCTTCTGTTTCTATGTCTTTATGTTTTGGTTGGTTGACTGTCCTTTAACTAACTCATTAGCCAACATTTACTGAGCCCCTGTGGCATATAAGGAAGGCAGTGTAACTATTAGGATAGGTAAGGTATGACTTCTTGGGCTTTGACGTCATGGGGTGAATGTTTTGAGCCCTTTCACTGGAGGAAGGTGGATGTGTGCTCCTTCCATTCCTTGCCTCTGTCCCTTCTTTGTTTTTTTTTTTTTTTTAACAGATTTTTGAATGTATACCTTTGACACATTTTCTGGCTCTGCACCCCAGGGTCTGTGTGCCATACTTAGGTGGCAGCTTGTGGAATTCATATCTTCAGTCTTGACTCAGTTTGTGTCCCTACTTTACCTGCCCTTGCTGTTCTGTGGCTCCCACTGCCTCACTTACCAGCCACATTGACCTTTTGTCCCCAGACAAACTGGGTCCTCACTGCTGCTTGACCTCCGTGTTGCACCCTTTCTTGCTGTCACATGGTCCATCTACCTTCTCAGAGGCACCCGTTCTGACCTAGTCTCAGGGTCTCTGCCTTCACTCCTATGCATGCTTCCAGGCTTCGCTTTCTTTGTGGCCTAAAAGAGCTTAGCTGTTTGGTCCTCTTCCTAACTAGTGCTGTTTGTCAGGCTTTATTTCTTGCACCAGGAAATGGCAGTGAAAAAATACACACAGACATATATACATTCATAAGTATATGCCCATATGCACATATACATGCTCACATAAACACTCATATACAAATATTCACACATGCATACACACATAGATACAAAGACAATTGTACACATAAACATATGCACAGTTCATATATACACATATATACAATGATATATACATTCACACACACATATATACATATATATATGCATCTACACATACACACATACACTCACCTCTGTATATACGCATGTACACACATACTTTTGTACACATGCATATACACAAACACATACACATACTCAGATATACATATACATGCACTCATGTTCACATACACAAGTATAGGAACATATACACACTTATATAGGCATGTATCCACAATATGTGCATAGACACATGTACATGTATATACACACACATACTTAAAAATCTTTAGATTTCGGGGCTCAGTAGATTGATATATCAATTCCCCTCCCCCACAAACTTACCTGCCAGTGATGAGAGCTATGAAGAAAAATCCACCAGATGCAGAGAACATGTACTAGTGGCAACGGACTCTTTTAGGTGCTGTGGAGAAACTTGAATGAAGGTTGTGCATGAGCTCCACTTGCAGGTCTGGTTCTTGCTCTTTCTTGCTAAAGGTGCTAGAATTCTCCAGTCAGGTCTTCAGGCCCCCAGTGGTAAGTGGTGTTCTTTAGGACTCTGTTGTTTCCTGCATTGCTAAGCAGTTTTCCTTCCCTGCACTGCCCCTTTGCCATGTCTTAGGTTTCTACCCTGTTCACACCCCTGCCTCTCTGTGTTTCTGTTCAAACCATAACTCGTTCACTTTTGTTGTTCCTTATTCCTCTGGAATTGTAGCATCAGGAGCTTTCCTCTATATTCCTCTACAGAACTTTCATGCTCTTTGTTCTGGAATCAGTTCTCACAGTCCAGACTCTTCTTCCCCGAGGCTTTGAATTGCTCTGAGTATTTGAACTGGTTTTCCCACAGCTGATCCCTCTGTGGTACATTCTTCCTAGTCTCGACTCTGGTCCATTTCTCTACATCTTCCATTGGCTTTCCCAGTGGACTTTGGTCATAAAGGTGTCCTGGGTAGAATGTGCTAATGTCATTTTGTCCTAAGTGTAGTTGAAGGTGACTATTCATTTCCTTTGCAGCTAAGGATAAATCAGAGAAAATCTTCGCACTGGCCTTTGTGAAGCTGATGAGATACGATGGGACCACTCTGAGAGACGGGGAACATGACCTTATTGTCTACAAGGTACACACATCGTCACTGAGACACTGGGGCTGCTTATGTGATTGGTCCTTTGCGACTTTCTCACCTGTGGCTGTGACTAAATACCTGGGGAAACAGCTCAGGGGAGGCAGGGTGACTTCTGACACAGATGCCAATGCTTTCAGTCCTTCACAATGGGGTCGATGTGATGGGACAACACCCTGGTGGCCCGGTGGAAGCGGACTTTCTCTCATTCCATTAGGGCCCCCTAATCTTTAGTGTACCTCGTTTCAGTTAGTTCTCTCTCATAGTTAGTTTGCTGTCATAGACACACTTAGAGGTGTGCTTTACAAACTTTGATGACTTCTCACTCCAATCAAGCCTGAGATCAAGATGAGCATCACAGCTGACAATTTCCCACCCTGAGGAGAGAGCTGCTCTCTAGCATTGAGCTACATTTAATTATGCAAATGAGCAGTTGTGATGACCAGCCCTTTTGCTGTTCCTAATGAGAGCCGATGACAGGCAATAACACATTCGGTGCTGTATTATGTGAAGGTTGGGAATGTGAATCAATCCCCAGGGAGGGGGAATATCCTCAAAGTACATTGGAGAACAGAACATAGAGGGTGTGTGTGTGAGGGTTGGAAGGAGTCGGCAAGTAAAGCAAGCAAAACCTGGAGGGTGACCTCAGTGAGTGTTGTTTGGCATACTGTACAATTAAACCCACAGGCAGAAGCCAAAAAGCTGGAAGATGCAGCTACATATTTGAGCCTCCCTTCTACCAAGGCGGAATTGGAAGAAAAGGGCCACTCGGCCACAGGCAAGGGCATGCAGAGTCTTGGGAGTTGCACCATCAGCAAGGACTCTTTCCAGATCTCCACGCTGGTGTGCTCCACCAAGCTGACCCAGAACGGTAAGTTCCAGAAGTTCTCCCTTTGCAGCACATCCCTTTTGGCTGCTTGTTGAGTGGAGGAGTTTGCCTGGGTGCATGGACCTCATTCACCCTGGCCTTTGAGAAGGACCCACATTGATGTCAGTGCACTCGGGAAGAGGAGGTGGCATCCGTCATAGTTTACAAATCACGATTCTATTTTCATCTGAGGATTAACTCTGCAGGAGATTAAACAATGAAAGGACTTGTTTTTATTTTTAAGCACCTATTTATCTGAGGTGTTGTGTATATGGGGCAGTTGGAGGACCAGTTGCAGGAAATGGCTCTCTCCTTCCTCTCTTTGGATACTGGGGCTTGGACTTGGTTTCATCAAGCTTGTTGACAAACACTGTTCCCCACTCTGCCATCTTGCCAGCCCTGGACTTCCTCTTTGAGATACAGTCCAGACAAAAGAAGGAAACATGGCATCAGGGAAGGTATATAAGATTAGAAATCAGACCTGAGAGTGGAGTTGAACCTTGGTCCTATCTTAACCCTGAAATGACCTTCAATAAAGGTCCTCTGAACCCATGTGAATAATGACTACTTCCAGAACCTTCTGACCAGCATGCAGACTGTTTGGTGCAGCATAACACCCTTCTATGTGTCTTTCCTTGTCTTAGTTTCTCCTTGAGATAATTCCTGGTTGTCTTTCTTTGGAGAAGTTGGTCTGCCTGACACCTTCTAGACCCCTTGTGGTGTGAGATAGGGCCTCTTCCTGGTTCATGTCCACTCAGCTCAGCCTAATGTGGAAGATCACTCATGAGCAGGTTCCTCTTGTCCTTGGGCTGGCTCAGCTCATTTCCCACTGCTTGCAGCCTCCCCAGAAACACAGCAGTCCGGTGGTGACACTTCGTATTCAGAGCACACCAGTGCTGTTGCCGTGACTCCGTCTGGAGGAGGCAGAGGCTCTCCACACAAATCTTTCATTTAAAAACTGCATCCCCCTAATGTGGCCGTATCATAGCTGTGCAGAGACGTTATGCTCTCTTGAAATGGAGCTTGAAAATCCAATTTTTTTTCCCTCTTAACTTCCTGATGTGAATTGTGATTATTAATGTCTGCCATTATCAGGAATCCCATCTCAGTGTTGTTTGTCAGTCATGGCTGCAGTTTGAGATTTGCTGAGGGGCAGGCATCTGTTGGACTCTGACAGGATAAACCTAGCTCAGAGGTAGTCCTGTCCTTCAGCAGTGGGAGTCTGGAGGGGAGAAACGGTTGTGTCCTGAGGTCTTAGGCATGCCAGCCTTGGGTCAGATGTCTTCCAAACATTCTCTGTCTTCTTCCATCTCTTTCTTAACCTTACCCAGCGATACTTTCCCACCATTGGCTTCCTTTGGAAAATATTGGTGAGGGGCTGTAAGTTACCCAGACACTTTTAAGTTGTTTGGGTCTTGGTGAATACTGCTGAGTTAGCATGGGTTTGTCTGAATCATTTTTGGAGGGTCCTAACTTACTGCCTTGTGGCAATCCCCACCAGCAAATGAAACTCCTTCCCTGAGGTACTGGATTTTTGAAAGCAGTGGCGGAGGGGAGGATGTGCAGGAGACATGAGTCAGCTGTGTGGGCTCCAGCTTGCATCTGGGCTGTGGAAAAGAGTGTTTCTCTACTAGGACTGAAACCCTCTGGGTATGCTCAACAAACTAATGTTTGTGTGCCTAATTTAATGCAGGTTAATGGTGTCCATAGTTGGGTCATTGGTTCCCATATGTGATGCTTTAGTATTTCAGCATGTGCTGAGATCTGTTGTGTGTCACTTTTCACTTTGGAGGAGGCCACCATCTTATATATGGATCATATTCCAGATGTATTTTACTAGATGCTATTTGAAATTTGATCATACTTTCCTTTCAAAGCAAGTCTCATCCACAATATCTTTTTTAAACCACCTATCCCTTCTAGAGAGAGTGTATGTGTGTGCGTACGTGCGTGTGTGCGTGTGTGTGTGTGTGTGTGTGTGTGTGTGTGTGTGTGTGTGTAACCTCCCAGGGTAGTGTGTGGACTCCTCCTTTCACCTTCCAGCTCCTTGAATCTCACCATCTGCAGGGTGATTCCCTCTCTGGTACCCAGGGAGAGAGCCCTGGTCTCAGCAGCAGCTGTTGCCAAGCAACAAGGAAATTCCAAAGTGATGCTGCTCACTGAACAGAAGAATTCTGGCTTTCATTTCATACCAGCACTGATACCCCTTTTTGGGATTGTGCCATGCCAGGAGTATATAAGATGGGGGTGTCCCAGTTGGCATGTGAGTGTGGAGTCCCAGATTTTCTTCTGAGGGAATCAATTTCCTGAAACCATCACTTGTTCCTGCAAAGTTCCATTACTTAGGGAAAAAAGCCAGGGCTGAATTATTTGTCAAGGTTTGTATTAAAGATCTCTGTCTTCAGCATCATGCAGCCTGCCATAGGGGCTAGGAAAAGAGCTGTGAGATGTGATTCCTTTTCTCAGCTTACTGTGTAATGCGAGAGAAAGGAGGCATGGAACAAAGATTAAGTATGAATCCAAGCATGTTGAATCCCTGGGAGCTGGGGATAAAGCAAGGAGGCCTTTTCTTACTGGTAGCTCTGTGGGGGTGGGACAAGCTGTTTTTTAAAGCACTACCCCATGAGGTGATCTATTAATTTACTCATTTGAACTCTTTTTGTCATTTTTGCAGTATAGAAGCTAGAGTGGCAGTACATGTGTTGTAATGACCTGCCTAGTGAGTCCTGCCTCAAAACAAAACAAAACAAAATCAACCAACAAACAACAAAAGTGCAAAACCCAAGAATAAGGAAATAAATAAAAGTTGAAAATTGCCATATAGCAATCAGGCTTAGCCCAGTCATAACACATGCGACTCCACCTTGGAATGAATGTTTTTCGGATGATGCATTGGGCTTCATTAAAGAAACATTGATCACTTGTGAGATGGGAATATTCCCCAACCCTGGGGCCCAGGAGTGTGTCAGGACTAGATATATCCTTTCTTGTTATGTTACTTTTAGTTAGAAATCACAGTGCATCAACTTCCACCCAAAGTTCTCTCCCCTTTCGTATTTGAAGGACTGCCACTGGAATGTATTTTGTGTTGGGTGTTGTGATAAGCTTGTCCATATTGTTGTATCATTGAATTCTTTTAGCTGAGCTGCAAATTATACAGCATTGTACCGGCTGTTCAGACAAGAAAACAAGGGAAACTCCCTGCCCAGTGTTCTGTAGTTACTGTGTGACTCAGCTGGTTTTACATAACCCACAGTGTATGTGGGTGCTGTGCGCTGCCCCCTTCTGTTTTACTCTTTCAGACATAGCGATGCCGGAGGTGATGTGAAATACATGGAAATCTGTATGGGGGTAGATGGTTTTTGTGTGGTTTGATTCTGAAATTAGAATGTATGCCTGATCCCGAATTCTTACCTAGGTCCAAAATTACATACTTGCTTTCAGTGTTAGTGTGAGCCTTGACTATTATTTATTTATTTATTTATTTTGGTGCTTGCAGTCTCTTCTGTGGCTGATGCTCCTGATACACAGGGACAGCAGATTAGATGCAGTTTGCTAGTTGCGTTTTTTGCAAGTAATGGCATAGTGCCCTAACTGCAGGTGAGCAAGTGCAGGCACGTGTGCTTTCCTAGACAGGGCTTACATTCTGTCTTCCTACCTTAAAGAACATCTTAATGTCTTAAGCAAAATCCTTCAAGCTTTAAAAACAAAACAAAAACACTCCCGATGCCTGGGAAGATGTCTCTGTCTGTAGAATGCCTGCTGTGCAAGCATGAGGATATGATGTGGGTCCTTAGCACCAACATAAAAGCCAATGGCAGAGGCATATAACTGTAATCTAGCCCTTGGGGGTGGGTCCTTGGAGACAGATGAATTCCTAGAGCTCATTGCCCAGCCCATTGAGTTGAGTAAAACTTCAGATTCAGGGGTGGAGGGGGTGGGGTGGATCCTGTCTTAAAGAGCAACCTTTAGAATGATTCAGGAGGAATACCCGAGGTTGACCTTGGGTCTCTATACATACACTTGTGGATGCACCCTTCGACTCCCCCATCCCTCCCACAAACATGTATACATACACTGTGGATGTACCCCTCCACTCCCCCCCACAAAACACATGTACATATAATATAGATTTATTCCCCACTTCCTTTGGATCTTTGAAATTTAGTATATTGAATCCTGACCCTTTCTACTAAAACCCACAAACAGATTGGAGGGCAGCAGCCAGTTGTTCAAGGAAAATTCTCAATTCCTTCTAGTGTTTGTGGCTCCACAGATTGCCTAACTTGCATTTCCAGGACTTAAATTTGTTTTATTTTATTAAAAAAAAAATTGACATTTGTTCTTGAGCAGGAAAAGCCACTTAGGGGACGAGGCTTGGAAACTTTCTGGGTGGGCAACATCTTCTAATTGTTACAGTGGTTGGCAGCTATCTCCAATAGGTGGGGACCCCCCCCCCCCATCCATCCCATTTTGGTTCTCAAATGAATTTTGAAAGCTCCTACATGACAATCATTTTGTGGTAAATGTGGCTGGAAATAATGAATTCAACTGCACTGGTGTTAAGTATGTTGGCACTCAGTAATGAAATATTTAGCAGGCAAACCTTTTGAAATTGAGTCGCGTTTTCTTTTGAGACGTATTCACAGAGAACCCCACATGCTGCATGAATTTGAGACAAAGGTCTCGTGGGAACCGGGAGCTGATTCTTGTGTTCTGTTCGCAGTGGATCTCCTGGGGCTGCTGAAGTGGAGATCCAACACCAACCTTCTACAGCAGAACTTGAGACAGTTGATGAAGGTGGACGGTGGTGAGGTGGTGAAGGTAACACGGGCTGTGGAGGAGGCTTGGTCTTGTGTTTTGTGTCTGCTATCATGAACTGACCCCAGGGGAGTGCAAGAGTCTGGTTACAATCTCTCAGCAGTGACGTAAGCCTCTATGTGTGCAGTGCTGCGGGCTCCTTTCGGAAGGGCTATCTGGATTAACTTGGCAGATGTGGGCTTTGAACCTATCTGCTCCTGGGTACTGTTTCCGCTTGATGAGTCCTTGGTGCTGTGCTGGCAATGCTCAGTAGTCCCTTTAAGCCGTGACATTGCCTTCTTGTCTGTGTTCTCTGAGTTTCATTGGACACGGTAGTCTGGGGGATGTCTTGTGTGTACTGGGCTGTTTTACTCTTACCACGGTGATTGTCCATCCTTATTATTGACTCATGCTTCTTCAAGTTACTTAGAAGCGACCTGAATAGTCAGCTCTTGGTAGAAATATTGCAAGCGCCAAGAGTTTGACCTGGCCATTTTCTTCCTGGAGATTCTGGAGAAATGTTAGCTATTAATTACTTTTGTTTGTTCTTGTATGCACTTGATTGAATTATTTTCATTATCTGGGAATGTTGTACAATGTATTTTGATTGCACTCCCCTTCCTCCTCCCTTCAACTCCGCTCAGATTCATCCCCACATCTCCCTACTCCCCAACTTCATGGCTGTTTAGGAAAAAAAAAAAAAATTAAGAACCCATGAATTCCCATCGTGAAGCCCATAATCTTCCAGGCAGGGAGCCATTCATTGGAGCATTGTTGACCCAACTGGAGCCACAACCTTCAAGAAAGCAAACTCTCCCCAAGAAACCGTCAATTGTCCACAGCTCCTCATTTAGTGGGAGGGACTCACCTTGCTTCATCTTGTGCAGGTCTTGTACAGACAGCCACAGTTGCTGTGTATTCATGAGAGCAGCTAGCAGTCCCTCCCAGTGGACACTGTTTTCACTCTGAACCTTTCTGATCTCTGGCTCTTAACATCTTGATGCCCCCTCATCCCCAATGGTCCCTGAGCCTTGTTGGGGGGATGTAGTGAGACCTTACTCCCTACAAGGGGATGTAATACAGATGTACGATTTCTAGCTGTCACTCCACAAGGACACTGCAAAGCTCAGGTACTGCTATTTATTCAGACCCTCTCCACTTGGTGTCCTGACATGGAAGCCTGGGTCAGAGCAGTAGTTTAAGCTTCTTTTAGCATCAAGTTCGGTCCCTCTTATCCTCTAATAGTTTGTTCTTTTGACATCCTCCCTGCATTGGGTTCTTCTTGCATGTTCCATATAAGGTGCTTGAATGCCATTGTCTTGCTCAAATATGTTATCATTGTCAGGGTGCTCCCCCTGGGCCAGGGGATGCTAAGCTGGCCAGTGGCCTATGGTGTTTCATAAATCATTTCTCTACTGCCTGGTTTGGCCTCTTCAGTACTTCACCCTCTCTGAGAGGAGCATGCAGTAGGGGACTGCCTTATCTCTGGAAAATTAATTACTTAAAATGGCCTTAATTAACCGGCAATGTGCTTAACTTTAGCGTGAATTAATTTGGTTGCACTACTTTCCTGCATCCGTTGTATAACTGTTCCAACATACCCTCACTAATCTTAAAATTTTAATCATCTCTTCAGTCCTGTTCTTGTACCAATGGCTTGGACAACGTTAATTGCATTTTATACTTCCTTGCTTTCTAAATCCCCAGTTCAGATGGAAACTGGGAGGATAAATGAACACACTCTAAGAGACATGCATTTAATGAAATTTTGTCTTTCATTTTGAAGTCCCCATGTCACCAATTCATTGTACTTCTGTTGATTTGGTGTCATACCAGGGGGAAAAAAATCTAGAATCATCTTGTTCTCTTCTCTGTTCCCCATAGCTAATGTATTAATATTTCTGAATATTCATCCGTCGAAGTGGGTTCCTCTCTCTCCCTCTTTCTTGTGATCTTGTTCTTGTGGCTGGGATGGTGTGACCTCACCTATCCTTACCTGGTGTTCTTGATAGATGGTGGGGTATATTCTATTTATTTCATGTTTCTCTCTTGCGTATTGTCATGACTGATGGCAGTGCTTGATGGATTTAGAAAGGAATCTGTATGCTTAGAAAAATGGATTCCAATGAAAGTGGAGGATGAAGATGGCTGTTTGATTCTTTACTGGGTATCCAGAGATTGAGAGGGAGGAGAAAGTGCTTGTCCCTGACTACCAGGTGATGTTCCCGTAGAAGGAGGTTCTGCTTTCTCTAGTTCTGACTCTGGGCCATGTCATTTGTCTTAATACCATTGGTAGGTCTATAGCAGGGAGTCCGCATGAATTGAGATGATCTTGCTACCCAGGGAGCCTATTGCCAGGGACATTGATTGGCTTGTCGGCAGATGACACGAACTTTTGACCTCTGCAAAGAAAGATTTGTGATCTGAAAATGATGGGAAATGTAACAAGGTTGTATAGACCTAAACAATCAGAGTTGATTAAGATCTTGTCACGTCTATACTGGAATTCTCGATGGAAAGGGTAGTTTATCTCCTGTTAGTTATGTGTACCATTTTCTCTGTGTAGTAGAGGTTGGGTAGCTCGTGGCATACAGCAGGGACCCACGTCTCTTTGTGCCACAGCTCTCCTGTCAGTCCTTCCAGTTTTAAAGCATGGAGCACAGATGGGCAGTGGGAGCCGCCACTAGCTTGGGAACAGATTTCGATGGCCTGCTTCCTCAGTCTTCAAAAGGCTGTGACTTCTAAGATTATTCATATCTTTTGCCAGACCCTGTGGGTGCTTGTGTGTAAGCTGGACATCTCAAAATCTGGATCCAACATCTGATGCAGCCACCCCTTTGATATTCCACTTCAACTTCCCCCTTAAAACAGGTTCCCCCCCCTTCATTCTGCCTTTGGTTTTATTTTTGAGATGCAGCTTATATACCGTAAAATTTCCCCCTTTACTCTGTTCAGTTAATAGCTTTAGTATATTTATAGGTTTTTGTAATCCCTAGTACTGGCTAAGCAGTACGACTTTCTTTATCCACAAATGAAATTCATAGCTATCAACTGTCATTTCCCCCAGTTTCTGCCACCTATAAGCCGTGTTTCTTTTGCTGTGTTTGCCTTGTCTGGACATTTGATACAGTGTAATTGTCCAGGGTGGCTTCTGGGCCTGGCTCCTTTCATTGGGTGCCAACTGCACATTTAGTCAGTAGACAGAGCATCCATGCTGTAGCTTTCCTAGGAACTTTGTGTTTCTTCAGTTGAGTGACAGTCCATTGGGAGGATAGATAGAGGTCCACAGAAAACATTCACTCTGTTCACTCTTTCTTCAGCTGATGGATATTTATTTCAATTTTTTCATTGTAAAGACTGATGCTTTAGATCTTTGTGCGCAGGTTTTGAATGTACATTAGGTTTTCCTTTGTTTGTGATGTGTATCTAGGAATGCTATTGTTCACCTATAGGGTTAATACATATTTAAGATTTTGAGGAATTGACAAGCTACTCCTAAGCCCCTGTACTATTTTATATTTCTCCCATCAATGAAGGCACAAAGGCTCCCATTTCTCTGCATCTTCTCCCACACATAGGTGATAACCTTTACAGTGGATGTGATGTGGGAGTCTCTGTGGTTTCAGTTTGTATGTTCCCACTGACTAATGATGAAGCCTCTGTGCTTTGTTCCTTTTGGTAACATATGTCCTTCTGCATTTCCACCACCGGGGATCTCACCACTTCAGTAGAATCTAGTCTAGTCCATTTTACACCTCCTTTAGGGTGCAGCATTTGATGGCTTCTAGAGTGACATACCTTTGATGTCTAACTTATTTCTTAATTGAATGAATGATGTTTTGCTTTCCTGTATAGATCATGTTTCTTTACAAACAATACATCAATTACTGGTAATGTATAAACATTTTCCAGCACACTGTTGCGTTCCTCAGCTGCAGCAACACACTCATGTTTTCTTCTTCATGGCTCAGTTGATTGACGGTCTTTCCCTTTCTCAGCTGAAACCTGATGCTCTGTGGCATCTTTCTGTTGTGCATGGCCTCTTATACTTGGCTTGTATAGGTGAATCTGATATGTTCTGATGAAAATATGGAAGAGGAGGCTTGAGAATGGTCTCTGGGTATCATTGGTATCTCCCAGCTCTGGTCTTCCTCTGCTTGGCCCAGGGTGACCTTATTTTGTCTGCAATTCAGTCATGTGAAAAGTTTGTCTCACTCACCTGTCATCTTAATAAAATCTTGGCAATCAGTAATGTAACTACTTAATTCACGTATCTATTGAGGCAAGCTCCCAGTGGGCCCGAGACTCCTTGTGTTACTCATACAATCTTCCTGCCACAGCCTCCCCAGTGTTGGGATTACAGGTGTGTACCACCATTCCTAGCTACATGTTAAAGCTCTATATGCAGGACTGGGGAAAGCTGCACATGCAGAGTCCTGTCAGAGAGCATGGTTGTCCTAGGCTGGGGGAGGTAGGGTGTAGGGACCATTAACTGACCTCTTGTGCCTTTGCAGTTCCTGCAAGACACCTTGGATGCCCTCTTCAACATCATGATGGAGAACTCTGAGAGTGAGACGTTTGATACCTTGGTGTTTGATGCTCTGGTAAGGGGGGGGGTCTCCCTTTCATCTGCTCAGAGGGTGAGGTGTTCTTTCATGCTGCAGTCTTTGAAGGGGGAAGGGCCCCATCTCAGTCACATTGAGAGCCTTTCAGCTGTGGAGTCAATCAAAGGGGAAGCCTGGAGGAGTGCAAAGAGACTTTGAATGTGAAACTATAGCTATGCTAATACCCTTGTGAGGGTAGGAAGATAGAAACCCAAGAATGGCTTCTGCAGGGACATTCAGGGTTCATTTCCTCAAGACACAGAGCAAGATTCCAGAATGGTTTCCCTTGTGCCACCCCTGAGACTGTTTTGGTTATATTGACAGGTCTTTATCATTGGACTAATCGCAGATAGGAAATTTCAGCATTTTAATCCCGTTTTGGAGACTTACATTAAGAAACACTTCAGCGCAACCTTGGCCTACACGTGAGTTCTGTGTTATTTGAAAACCACTGCTGTCTCCTCTGATGTTTGCAGTCATTTTCCTCTGTGACTTTGGCCAATGACTGCACATTTTTCTATTTGAAACTTTGGCTTTACTGGCATACTTGGTATTTTTGTTTCCTCCCTAATAGACCTGAGCATCTTGTTGGGAGAGATATGTGACAAATAAGCCTCATGTCCTGAAATGAATCTTCATTCTCTTCCATACCTTCCATATATCTTTGAAAATTTGTACTTATGTTCTCGATGATGCTGATCTATGGAGGCATGCTCCCTGTCACACTGCAGCTCCTCAACAGGCATCTAATAAATGAATAAATGAATGTGTGTCTGTTTTTGAGGTTATTAACCCTTTAGTGTACAGAAAATGCAGTTTTGTATTCTTCAACCAGTCTCCTTACTCCTTAAAGTATATTCCCCTTTTCTTATACCAGTTTTAGCTATTAAATTACACACACCCAGACACACACACACACACACACACACACACACACACACACACACACACACAATTTTTTTCTATCTGTCTGAGCTCCTTGTCCCCAACCCTGTCTGTGCACACAGGGGATATATGGGGCCTGGACCAGCAAGGTAGGTTCTCTCCTGTTTGATAACACAATTTTGGATGCAGGATACATGGGCTTAAATGACAGCTCTGTCCTTTATGAATTATGTGATCTTAGGCAATTTGCTTTAACCATCTCTGGCCTTTAGCATTTTCATCTATAAAAAAAGAATATTATTGTAGTGTTGTTTGAAAATTTTAATGAGTTATTAGAGTGCTCAGAATAAAGCCTGATGCTTGGACAGAGAGCACTAAGCGGTTGCTGGGGTTCATTTACTTGTTCTCTCATGTTGGGATTTAATGACATGTATTCAAATTTTATATTGTGTAATTGCATTGAAAAAATTTTTAAAAAGGAGCCACACACAACTTTTTCTCTAAGAACAGCACACTTAAAAGTTAGCCTGTATAAAATGAGGTCTCATCTGTGGTTCTGAGCAGACTTTGTAAACACCTGTTTTTTCTTCCTGTCTCTACTGTGAGCTCAAAGCCCAGGGATATCAGCCTATGAAGTCAGTGGGGTGAACAACCCAGTGTTGTCCTGCAGTTCCCTTCATGTCCTTTTCTCCCTGTTTATAACAGGTGGTGGGTAGAGTCCCTGGCAAGGTAGGAGCTGCAGAATCTTCTGAAGCCTGTAGAGCAAGCTGTGATGAGCCCTTTATTAGTCTTCTGTTAATGTTTATTTAAAGTTCTCTGCTCACTCAGTGGAGATGCCCTGTGGGTTGGTATATTGCACACTTTCTTATAAACTCTCTGGGAAAGAAATAGTTGAGAGCTGGGGCACATTCTTGACCTAGTGACCAAGCATGGTATTGTGGATGTGGCCAGCAGATGTCTCTGCAAGTAACAGGGTCTCCATATGTAAACCAATTCCAAAGTTTTCATTCCAGGCGAGACTAATCAATCAGCTGTTTTGAGAATAGTCTTTCTACTTTAACTTAGGAATTGAGAGCAGTGCTGAATTCTACCTGTAGTATCTACTACTGGTTGTGGGCCTTGGCTTTGCTGTGCTGGGATGTTGAGAGAAGGGTTGGTATCCTCACTGGTGGAAAAAACTAACAAGCAACTAAAATTGGAGGAGTTTGGGGGCTAAGATATAGCTCAGTAGAGTGAGTGCTTGCCTAGCATGCATGAAACCCTCAGTTCCAGTCTCAACACCTTATAGCTTGGTTGTGATGGGTCATACCTGTAATCCCAGCACTCAGAGGGTGGAGTTGGGAAGATCTTAAGTTCAGACTCCTAGGCTACATGAGTGTGAAGACAGCCTTGGCTATATGAGACTCCATTTGAGAAAAAGTAGTGTGTGCGTGCATGCATGTGTGTTTAGATGTTAGAAAATTATTCAAGGGGAGAAATTAAAGCACCATTTTATCCTTGAGCTTAGATAAGATAGAGGTACGACTCAGTACCCTCCTGTTGTGTTTGTGCTATCTGCTGAAAAGATATGTGTTTTGGAAAATAGATATTTATACCATGCTTTGATAAACTTCCAATACATTGTTTTCTACATTAAATACATTAAATAAATAGGAATCTATATGTAAGTAATTTGATAAAAAATAGAACCCCAGATGCTTGTCACTTAAAACATTAAAACCTTTTTTCCTTAAAAGAGTTTTGAAGAAAAGTTTAGATTATGTGTGATATGTCTGTGTTTGTTTGGGTGTGTGCATTTGAGTGCAGATGGTTATGGAGTCCAGAAGAGGGCGCTAATTCTCCAAGAACTAGAGAGACAGGCAGTTGTTAAGTGCCTGACATGGATGCTGGGCACCAAACTTGGCTGCTCTGGAAGAGCAGGATGTGATCCTAACCACTGAGCTGTCTCACCAGCCTCTAAAACAGTAAAATCTTGATTCTAAAGAAACTTGGGTTCATCAGCAATGAATGTAAGTAACTATTCAAACTTTGAAACACCAAAAGGATTAAGTTTTGACTTGTGATTCAGAGCACCACTGAAGGCTGCCCCTGCCTGTTATTCTGTTCCATTCTGGGTGCTTAGAATGTTCTGTCAGCCATTTGAAACTCTGGCACTATGTATTGTCAAAGAACGATCTCCATCCATCCTGGTCCCTGATGACATCAGCAGGTCTCATTATGAATCCCTGGCCTGGAACTCACTTTGTAGATAAATATGGCCTCTATGTCCCAGGTTCACCTGCCTCTGCCTCCCAAGTGCTGGGGTTGAAGTTTTCTGCCACTGTGTGGAACAAATGTCCCCATCTTTTATCTTTCTTTCCAAAGAGTTGCATAAGCAGAGAGAAGGCTCACTACAGTGGGTGTTCTCTTTAGCACCTAGCTCCAGCACAGCTCCCTGCGTTGACAGTTCATGGAGGCTGGGGCACCGTGACTGCAACCAGTACTGATCCAAATGAGAAAAGAAGGAGGTGCTCCTTTGAGGACTACTCTTCTTGTAGCTTGCAGGCCATGGCTCTTTTCTGTCCTGTGCTCTGGGTCTCATGGGGCTGCCCTGGGCTCCCCATTGGCATAACTGAGGATCCATTTTCTCTGCTCCTTTCTGGCTTCCACCAGAGGTTTTGATCTTTGGGCAGTTATGAAATGGCCTTGCAGATTTTTTCTGGGTTTGGGCCATTTTTCTTGTGAATCATTAGTACTATTATTTCATTCTATTCTTCAATTAACGAGTTGGAAGTATTCCCATTGCTGAAGTGTGTGTGGGCTATGTTTTTTTTGTGAGTGGGGATGTGAATAGAGGTGAAAAGAAACAGTGTTGTGAAGCTTGGGAAAATAACAGGAGCTGAGTAAGACAAACTTTTGTAAAAATTTCAGCTGTGTCTTGGGCATAAAGGCCTACAAAGAGTCACCTTTGCTTTGGGGCATTTCCCAATGAACAGGTCATTGTCAGACCCCATGGCAGATGGATCCTGCAGGGCAGCCTTCAGAACACAGTTCACACCATCAGGCTGGCTCCCCTGAAGGGCTCAAGTTTCCTTTCTGTGGTGCTGTAACCTGATCAGTGTCAGAAATGCCTCTCATCCATCCAGTCACTCACAAGCCTCTTAACTTTTTTTTTTTTTTTTTTTTTTTTTTTTTTGTATAGCTAACATTGTGTATAGGGGGTTAGAGGATATCTCAGGGAGTAAGAACACTGGCTGCTCTTTCAGAGGATCTGAATTTGACTTGTGGCACCCACATGGTAGCTCCTGACAGTCTTTAGTTCCAGGGAATCTGATGTCTACTTCTGGACTCTGATGGTGCCAGACATACATGTTGTCCACAGACATGTGGACATGCAAGCAAAACAACAATAAAAAAAAAAATTGTGTGTGTGTGTGTGTGTGTATCTACATATGTCTGTGTAGGTGTGTATATCTGCATAGATCAAATGTTGATGTCAGGGCTTCTCTTTCACTCTTCATCTTATTTTTTGAGGCAGGGGCTCTCAGTGAACCTGGAACTCAGGATTTTGACCTGTGAATCTCACAAACCCTCTTGTCTCTGCCTCCCCAGTGCTGGTATTTTAAGCATATGCTTCTTCAATGCTTGGCTTTTTTGAGTGGGTACTAGGGATTGAACTGAGGTCCTCTTGCTTGTGTGGCAAGCACTTTGCCCACTGATCCATACCCAGAAACTGTACACCGTGGTATTTTTGCTTGTTTAAAATTTCAGAAGTCAGCCTGGAGAAATGGCTCAATGATTACACATATTTATTGCTCCTTCAGGGGACTTGCATTTCATTCCAGGCATCACATGGTAGCTCACAACTGTCCCTAATTCCAGTTCCCTGGGATCTGTTGCCTCTGTGGGCATCTGCACACACATGGTATATATAAAAAGCACACACATACACATGAAAAAAAATCTTTAAGGATAAACTTATAAAGCTTTTTCATTGCTATAATAATGTACATGTAAGAAGAGTCATTTTATGAATTTAGACAGCCCCCCCCCCCTTCCTGTAACCACTGCTGGAGATAAGTTATCTGTAACACATTGCTATCCCACATCCAAGGAAGACCCCTGTTGCTCTCAGAGAAGCAGCTGTGTTCTCATTTCTGTATCAGGGCTCTGTTTTGTTTTCTCTAGGACATCATGTATTCCTGTGCACCTGGCCTCTTTCCTTGAACATAATGCTATTGAGATTTTTCCATATTGTTGTATGTGTCATTGTTTGAATTGGGTCCCTTTATATTTTAGTCATAATTGACTCTTCTGTGATGTGTTTAGTCATTATTGATAGATGGGCTGGGGGGGCTACTGGTATTCTGCATAAGGCTTTTGTGTTTTATAGACAGTGTTCATTTCTCTTAGGTGAACACTTGGAACTCAATTTGTTGGACCAGAGAGACACATATGTACTTCATGAAATTATTGTGTCACTTTGTATTTCCTCCAGCAACTTAAAACAATCCTTTGCATAGATTGGCAAGGTTTGGCCATGGTTGCAGCTCAGTTGGTAGTGTGACAGTAGCCATGGCTTGAGCCTCTGCACATTATAGACTAGGTCTGATAGCAAACACCTGTAATCCTAGCACTCTGGAGGTGAGGTGGGAGGAGCAGAGGTCGAAGGTCATTCTCAGCTGCATAGCAGCAACTTCAGTGTCAGCCTGGGCCACAGGAGACCTTGTGCTATAAATGTCACAAATGACACAAACAGCTTCACCAATCTTTGTTAGTGGTGATAGACCCTACTGCTTGGCCTCTCCCTTTCTGTATTAACAGCTGAGCAGTATTCTATTCTCTTTCATAATTATTTATGCAGTTCATGTTATAGGTATCAAATTGTTTATATATTTTACTACTGCACACAAAGATGAGACAAATGTTACTGAATTCATCTGTAATTAATACTGTATGGAATTTCCTCAAAGGAAAGTTGCGGATATCAAAGGATTTGAGTCTTTTTGCTTGTACCTAGTGTTAGTGATAAAATTCCTTGATATATGTTTGTTTGTTTCCCTCCAAAGAGTATTCCTCCCTCATCTTGTCTTCACTAGGCAAATGTTGTACTTATTTGTTTATATAACTGTATTATTTACTCCCCCCCCCCCATGGGCTGGGAATTAGATGCTGGATCTGGCACCTGCTGTGGGCATCCTCCAACTGAGATTCTTTCTTGCCTATGTATTATTTTAATTTACATGTATTTCTTTATTAATGAAGTGGATTACTTTTCAAAAATTGTATTTCTCAAATTTTGTTTGTTTTAAATTGAACTTCTCCCGTACCCGAAGTTCTGAGTGAACCTGTTGCCATTTGGACTCTCTGGTTATATGTAATGCTGCAAAACATGAAATTCTGAAGCTTTTCCTATGCTAACAATTTTGAATAAAGGTGTCTGTGGCTGGGCATGGTGGCATATGGATTTTATTCTGTACTTTCAAGACCAGTCTGATCTATCAGTGGTTCTCAACCTTCTGATGCTTCAGCCCTTTAATATAGTTCCTCATGTTGTGGTGACCCCAACCATAAAATTATTTCATTGCTATTTTACAATTATAATGCTACTTTTATGAATCATAATGTAATAGCTGATATGTAGGATATCTTATATGCAACCCCAAAATAGAGTTGAGAAAGGGTTAAGACCCCCCAGGTTGAGAACTGCTGAATAGTCCAAGGGAAGCCAGGACTACAGAGACTCTCAAAAAACAAAAACACACAAGCAACTTAATCTGAGCCCAATAAAAACTGCCAAAAACTTAAGTAGTCATGAGTTAGTCTCCTAATGAACAATTCATTTGTATTTATTTCCCATATTTATGTCTGTCATGGGATGGGTAATTTGAAAAATAATTCTGATGAATTTGTATGTACTGTGATTTGTGCAAACTTTTTCATGTTAGTGAGTTGTTTTGTGCTCCCAGTTTATAAATATGACCATGAGAAGTACAATAATTATTTATGTTTTTAAAATTAGATGTTTTGGAGGGAATTCAGTTATTAAGAAGTGTAACATCTATTCTAAACATCTTATTTTCACCCTCTTAATAGGGCCCATTAGTAAATTCATTTAAAATGTGCTGTTTATTTGGAAATTGTCATTTAACAATTTCCTATTTGGTATAAGGCCTTTAGTGGAGCAAATCAGCTAGCCTGCAGAGAGGTCTGAATGAGAACCCTTTAGTATTCTTACTCTACCAGAAGAAATTTTATCAGGTGCTTTGTCTGACCTTTATGACTATGCATATATACATAAGTGGAAACCAGAGTAAATGTAATTCTCCTGTAAGCTTTGCTCTTCAGTTAAGTGTCAAATAGGGATTTCTGAACTCTTGATTGACATATGTTTTTCTTGGGACTAGGAAGCTGACCAAGGTGTTACGGACCTACGTAGCCAGTGCCGAGAAGCCAGGAGTCAATGAGCAGCTGTACAAAGCCATAAAAGCCTTGGAGTACATCTTCAAGTTCATCGTGCGCTCACGGGTACTGTTCAACCAGTAAGTGTTCAGCCAAGGCCCGAGCAAATCCTCACTTCTCTTTTTCCTTCTTTCTTTCTATCCCCTTTGCCCTCTTCTCTGTCCTTGGCGCCTCCTCCTTTCTCTTCTTACCTTCTGCCTGTGACAAAACACTAATAGATGAAGGGTGGGTTCGTTTGCCCACGCTGCCCCTGACTGCTTCCATAGCCGTCCTTGCAGAGTTTGCGCTGTTCAGAGGTTCAGAAGTGTGCCTGTGAGCTAAACATTGTCTGCTGAAAGTGTTTGTAATGCTTCTCACGCAGCACTGGGCATCCACCAAGGGCTTGGCAGTACTTTTCAGTATATCTTCATAGAGCAAAAAGCCCCACAAGAGCAAACAAAAATGAAACAAGCAATGAGAAGGAAAAGCCAAAATCAAGTTGTACTGCCTCACGTGGGAGCACTGCGGAGGCCGGGCCACTTTTCTCCTTCCAGGAGAACACTGTGTTTCTACGGATACCAGAGTCCCCTTGTTCACTCTGCGTAGTGGTTCATGGTGGCTGACCACCGTTAAGAGTTAATTTTGAACTTGAAAACAAGTTGGGATATGTATGACTTGATTATTTTAGAGAAGGTTGGTCATTTATACATTGATATTTCTAACCACCACGGTTGGGCTGTTAAAATGAAATCACTTGGTGGTCTCCCCCAGTATCTCACACTGGCAAATGAGATAGGGAGGTGGATCATTTGGGGATAGGGTATTGAGTGGACTCTGCTTCTTTTTGGAGGGTGCCATTTTGTGAGTTACTTGCTGTGAGTGTTGTGAGCACATGGTGGCTGATCTAGATTAATTGATGTTCTTGTGGTAGGTTTCTACACAGAGATGACTCTGTGAATCCATCAATCAGAGAATGGGGGCACACTGCCTGTGATCATTGAAAAAATGGGCATAACGTTCAATGGACCCCTGTCAACATCTGTTTCCTCTAAGCTTCCACTTCACTTGCTTGAAGCAGAGATGATCATAAGTACCAAGAAGAAAGGGAAAGGAAGCAGAAAGAATGGCACAGCAGCATGTTCCTGCTGAGCATGTACAACAGAAGTGGTCAGAGATGGCGAAACTGCTAGTGACTGGGCAGCTCTCTCTGTGCTGTTGGGCACGGGTCTGAGTGGTCTACATTCACTCTGGGGTTTCCGTGGTTAAATCAGTATTCCTACGAGACCCAAGGCTGGAGGCATGTGGCTTTGTCAGCATCTCAAAGGCATGTTCTGTCTTTACATGGCACTTCATGTAGACACATTGTCTGTTTTTTTTGGATGTTGAAGCCGGCAGTGATTTTCTCATTGTTAAGTTTCCTCTATATTGTCTCATTTTATTTCAGTCATGCTGATTACGTGACAGTGAACTCTGTGGCCTCTGGAATCTTCATTTTTAATTACTTTTCTCTTTACACTCCTCTGTTCTCTGAATATGTCATGACTGCACATGCATACCTGTGTGCATGACATGCCCCTCCCCTCTCTGCACATGTCACCAATGCACATGCATGCATGACATGGGGAGGGAGTGAACAAGTTGTAGGAGTTGGTTCTCTCCTTCTGCCATGTGGCTTCTGGGAATCACTCAGGTGGTCACTCCTGGCAGCAAGCACTTTTACCAACTGAGCCATCTTGCCAGCCCCATCCTTTCCCCCATTTCCTTAATGCCTCTCATTACAATGAGGTAGGAAAATGAGTTGGAAAGAAGACTCATAATAGTGAAGTGATGTGACTTTTATCGTGGTTTACTTGGAAATTCTTAATCTTGCCCAACGTCTGTTCCATGTGCTGCCCAGTCAGGGATTTGATGATGTGTGCATAGCCACAGCGAGGATTTTCTCATTCCTCAGAGATTCACAACAACAACAACTTGTATATTTGGGTAGTCAACAGTGCTGCATTAGAAATGACCATGGTTACTCAGTCCACTGAGGTCTGCTGGGTGAACCAGCAGCAACTCCTCTGCCTCTCACTTTAGATCTGTTTAAGTGTAGGATAGGAACACAGAGTTTCAGGCATTAGATCTTAGAACCATGGTGTTTCAGGTTTGTTTTAGTGAGGTCAGTCTTGTGTCAGTCAGCAATATGACTGGCTGCTTATCAACATTAAAAATCAACTTAGATGGCTTCACCGGCTGAGGCTCATGTCACCCACCCACTCTGTATACGGCTTGTAGCCTGGAAAAGACTTTGGCTCCATTCACTCGCTCCATGGTGTCCCCATGTTCTCAACACTCAGTGTCTTTCTATCCTATTATCTTAGAGACTGTCTCTTTTTCTCTGACTTTCCTGGTGTGATACCTACAGTTTGAGCAGTGGCTTCAGGCTAGAGGGTATGCAGCTATGGCAGGATCTGTTAGAGAAAGCCTCTTCCAGCTTTCGAAATGCTGTGCGTTATTCTCATCTCAATGACAGATTGTTGTCACATGACAGCATCCCTAGCTCTAGGGGAGAGAGACGGGAACTGAGTTGAGGCAGAGTTTAATGGTACCTTCAACAAAATTAAAGTTGCCACAGTAAGTACATATTGGGCAGATGTCTCCATTCTCATTCTCATTCCTTCCACCTGGAGTATCTGTTTCTTTGAATACTTCGTCATTTTCCCACCTCCTCTCAGGTTCTGTGTTATCTTTATGTAGGCTTTGTGGATCTTTTCTTTCTCATTAGAGACCTTTGTCACCAGCTTTTAAGTCATCGGAATACTAGATGACCAACAGAGTGGATGGACTTGTAGAAGTCACAGCTGCTTGTGGCAATGTGATGCAGGAATAAACTTCTGCTCGCTCTGTCCTCTTCTCACAGACACCGACGAATATCCTACTGGGTCACTGTTGTGAGCCCCACGTGGGATGCCTCACATGGAAAGTGAGTCTACACAGAAGGGGCACTGCCACATCCTGTTCTCCACTTTCTTCCCCTTCCCTTCCTTCTGCCTGGGAATCACAGAGTCTGGCTTCCGGCTCTTGTGAATGTCCTCCACCCTCAAAACGTGTAAGAAGAGGCTGCTCTCAGTTCTATGGGCTCTTTCTACCTTGACTCCTCCATGTTGCCTGTCTCTGCTGCTGTGGCCTGAACTTTCCTTGGATCTGCCGCCTTGCAGTTACCTCTCTGTCTGTCCATGGTATTATAACAGTGCCCAGTAGTCTATCTCGGTGCCCTCTTTGACTGTGTGCCCCAAGTAAAAGCTAGCATCAAACCTTGAGTATGACACAGGAAGTACCCCATTTAAGTGCCGGGGAAGTCTCTCTTTCCTGTGTTGGGCCCTCAGCCTGCCTTTCTGCCATCGAAGTCTCAGCAAGAGCCAGGCTCATCCCTATTGTTTTCAACAAAGTCTCTATCCTCCTGTTTTACCAACCAAGACTCAGAAGCCAGATGCCGGGGTGAAAACCTGTGAGTTCAGAGGCAGAGAAAGCACTCAGCTGCTTCTTCCTCTGCCATCATCCTAGAAGAGAGCTTTCTCCTATGCCATCTCAAACAACAACTCCTCTGACTCGATGTCCCTCCCTACTACTTCCTGTGCATGTCTCTCTAAGTCCTTCTGACTTCCTCTGATAGTCTATGGTTTTTTCCTATCAACTGGTTGCTGGCTCTCTCTAGCCCTATGGATGACTTTATTTAATCCTGTTTAGAATATTCAAACAGAAAGCTCTTGGATTAAAGGTGTGTACTAGAGCTAAGCCACACCACAGTTAGGAACAGGTTTTTCCAGTGAATGATGCAATCTCGGGGTTCAAGTTGTGAGCAAATATCCTGCAACACATCCCAAATTGAATTTCTTTACTCAAATAACCTGCTCTTTCTAAGAGCCAAGATTGTCCAGGGTACAGATCAAACGTCAGCTATCTCTTAGAGGTCATGAAATCTTTTTCAAGGTCTCCCTTCCTGACACATGGGGGTCTCCGTGATGCCTTGATCACTCTTGTCTTTTTTTTCTTTGTCCCTCTCTCCTTTGTTCCTTTCTTCTTTCACACATATATAATAAACTTAAATTCTGTGTGTATCACCATTTTCATGTCCTTTTCAAACCCTTCTGTGTGTTTCTAAGTATGGGTTTTAGCTGCCTAGTAGGATTTCAGAGGGATGAAAGAACATGTTTTTCTTTCAGAATGCAAAGTGCTCTTGTAGCTAGAGAACGGATACGAGAAATACCTTTGTATATGTCTTTGACTGAAGACTGTGAGATGTTTTGGTATCTTGTGGGTTCCAGGGGCAGAGCTGCTTCTGCCAGAGACATCATGTCACGATATCATGTCCTTCCACAATATTTATCTTTGACTTCAAGGGCCTGATTGAGTCTTGCCCCATTCCTGTTTTGAATGTGTTACCTGAAAAGGCAAGAGTCTGATGTCCCAGGCAGATTTCTGTGGTGCTTGATAATCATCAGAAGTTGTAAGAAGGTTTCATGTGGGATATTGGGATATTTTCAGAAGTGGGGAGAAAAACAAAGTGGAGTTCTCATTTTCTTACCTGCAGTATTGGGAGAAAAACAGTTGTGCTTACAGCTGGGATTGACAAGTGTTTTTTTTTTTTTTTTTTTTTTTTTTTTTTTTGTTTTGTTTGGTTTGTTTTTAGTTGGAATAAACTTTTGAGGTCTATTCTCCTTCTTTCAAAATGATCTTCTGTGTTTCCAAGTATAATATAGTTTCTGTGTTAAATTCTGGGATAATTGTGAGTAATTATTCTTCCTAAGAACAAAGAGATGAAACTGGAGAGATATTGCTGCTTACTGTGTCGTCTCACAGGCTTTCTGTGGTGCAGTCCCATCCCATATTCTTTGTTCTAGTTAGGAAGCTGTTTTTGTTTTGAAATGAGAACAGCAGTTCTGACCCAAACAAATTTGGTTCATGGTGAACTGAGAAAGATTCCGGGTAGCCAGAGGCTCCCCTTGCTGTGTTTTTATGCCTTCTGTGTGGGTGGACCGTATTAACTAGAAAGCCTAAAGATGATATCCTGCGTCAGACCTGCTGAATGCTGGCCTCTGTCTAGCTATGGCTTGATGCC